AAATCCCATAATGCGAGGTTTGGGGACAGAACCCCCCTTTCACATACACGGTGACAGGGTTCACAATCAAAATGACTCCATTTTCTAGCAGAATATGTTCCAACAGAGCTACAAACGCCCGCCTCTCGGCAGATCCGACAAGATAAAACTGACTCACCATCCTTGACGACGCAGCAGCCACATGGAGGTCGAAGGTCGAAGAACCTCTAATTTAGCGGAGGAAATAATTTCAAATCGTGCGCTAAAATAGAGACACCAACCAAACAACAGAAAACCGGTGGTGGTTTTTGCAGTCAACCAGGCGACTTCTAACTGGCATAAAGATGTTTTCCAGGCTGGTCTGCACCGTTGGACGCCTAGCACGTAAGCTCAAACCTAGCTAGTACTTATGGGTTGATTTTTGTTCAGCACCCCTGCCGGCTGAACGTCACTTTGTTACGCTCAATTTACCTCTTTCTTTGTTTATTTCCAGCCGCCACAGGCCGCGTGGGTCTATGGAGACCGCTGTCTACCTGTCAACCTCGCTTCACGAACGGTGAGTAAAGACTGGTGGGCATCAATTAGAATGACACCATGTTTCGACCACAGATACTCCACAACCGGTTTCCACGAGTGGAAGAACTGGTCTGGCTGGTTTCCTGGAGAGCAAGACAGGTGTAACAGGGGCCGGGACTCTGGGAGTGGGCATGGCAGCATACCTCATCTCCAAGGAGATTTACATCATCAACAACGAGACGGTGGTTGTCGTGGTGGTGGGAGGAGTGATATACTACCTCCTGAAGAAGATGGGACCACCTATCACTCAGTACATTGACGAGAGGAACCAGGTTAGCTCAGTGGAACCTCCGACAATGACCCTCTGAATAAAGGACACCTCTCTATAAGGACACTTGGTTCTCCCCATACATATATACTAATACAGAGTGTTACATTGCTTAACTTCTCTCTCTCTTTTTCTTCCTCCTCCCTCTCCTCCCTCAGAAAATACAAGACAGGTTCTATGGCTTCCACAATGCCCAAATCAAGGAGGTGGAGGACGCCATTGTCGACCAGCAGAGACTGGACGGCAATCTCGAAGTCCGTCACGACATCTTCAGCGTATTGAGGGTACGTGGTTGCCATGGTGATGTTAGTATAATCACGTGACTGTCATGTGACCCGGTCTCCAGGAGAACAATGCGATGCAGTTGGAGGAGGAGTACAGGAGACGATGGCATGAGGTCATTACAGAGGTCACCAGACGACTAGACTACCAGGTGTGTTAGCTCTCCTCTAGTGAGTGAGACTAGAGTCTCTGTCTCTCTATCGATGTATAGTTGGAGGTGCAGAAAGTTCAGAAGGCATTCCAGCACTCTCACGTGGTGCAGTGGCTGGAGAAGGCCGTCATCGATAATATCAAGGGACAAGAGGTCAGAACGAGGAACTTTTGGAGAAAACTAACATTGCATAAGCAGAGTGCATAATGGGCCCCATTCACAATTATTCTAGTACGTGTGTGGCTTTCATTTGCAAACGTTTTCCCTCCTTTTCTGTCTTTCTCAGGATGCCAGTATCAGTCGCTGTATTGCAGATCTCAAGAAGTTAGCAGTGGCCTGAACTTTGAACCCAGAGAAATGCACAGGCACCTAGCAACAGATATTATGTATAGATGTCGTGTGTACAACTATCTATTGATGGCTCGATTAGGCACACAACATTTTCCTCAGAAAGACATTGGAAAATGAAAGTCTTCTTATAGCAGACCCGTGGATGCAGACATCTATATTCACACTCTCTATGACTTGCTCATGTGGTTGCTGTAAACATGCCAATTAATTTCCAATTTAAATAGCTGCATGCCATCATAGTGGCTCTATACATTGGGTACGTCAACCCAATGACAGAATTACAATCTCAATTCTCGAACCCAACACACACATTTAGACATTTATAGCAACAGAGACAACAACAATTTAATGTAGTGAGACCAGTGGCGTGATAATGCTTGTTTGGGCCAGTCTATTGCCATGGAAACCAAACGGGGGCATGGCCAGCAGCTACCGTGCCGACGTCTTTTCTCGCTGCTTCACCAGTCCTCCACTGAGAGTGTGACGTCTCTGAGTGTGGGAGGGAGGGGAAATATTGGAGTGAGAAAATCCTCTAATCCAGACACCAATGAAAGCAGCGAGGTGTCCTTATTCCAGGGGTTAAATTCCATGCAAGAACTGTTTTTGGACAAAGAAAAGGTGTCCTTATTTTTCATTTCAGGGGTGTCCTTAGAGAGGGATATCTATTTTCATGGTGCTCAAGCCACTACGTTTGGTACCAACAGCTATGTGTATATAGCTATGATAGAGCCGTACAGTCTGCGCAGGGCTGTGCTCTGTGGAGCTGCCGGAGTGCTGGGAGGCGGGGCAGGGGGCGTGGCCTGTCTTGGAGGAGGTGGAGCAAGAGGAGGTTCGACCTCTGAGTGGGAGAGGGTGGCGTGAACCCTGCGGACGGTGTCAGGAGGGCCGGCGATGGAGACAGTGACCTGCGAGAACAGAGAGAGGGAGTTTGTAACTGTATGACATCAGATTTTAATTTTCACAGGTTTTGCAAAATGTACAATATTCCATTAGTGGGTGGCTCAGAAAAATTGCAAGAAAACTCTTCTTTGTGAAAAAGAGTGAGGAAAGAGACCTGCGGGTGGGTGAGGGGGAGTAAGAGACTGGACTCCCAGCGAAACGAGCTCTCTCGTTGAACTGCCTCTCCTCGTCCATCTCCAGCGATGACTCGCTCTCACTCAACTGCCGACTCAGCTGCTCTCGTCGCTCCGTCTCCCGCAGCAGTCGCCGTTGGAGACGCAGGTTCTCCTCCCGCACATCCTCTCCTCATCTGTTATCTGCTGGACCTTCTCACGATCTGCATTAGATCACCATTACATCATAGAAATTACATAACCTCTGATTACATCATTGCATCATAATAGATGTAGTCAACTTTGTTTGGCATGTTAGTCTGTATATACTTCGTTGAAAGTATTTGCTATGACATCATAACAATAAACTTTGAACCTACTCTGAGTCTCAGTATGTTGAAGCATTCTCCTCAACTTGTCCACCTCCGCAGAGAGTTGCGCAATACGGGAGGTGAGGAGGGCGGGGCTGTTCCGGTCTGACGGGGAGGGAGGGGGTGTGGCTCCAAGCTTCGCCTCCAGCTCCCTACGGTGACGACAAGATCATGTGACTATCACATGATTTGAAAAAGATAACGAGAAAACAGAGGTTCACAAATCGCTAAGGACAGTATATATATACAAGTTAGACCTTGCCTAATAAGACAATAAGGAGTACCTGTACATGTACATGTACATGTAGACAATAAGGAGTACATGTACATGTAGACAATAAGGAGTACATGTACATGTAGGCAATAAGGAGTACATGTACATGTACATGTAGACAATAAGGAGTACATGTACATGTAGACAATAAGGAGTACCTGTACATGTACATGTACATGTAGACAATAAGGAGTACCTGTACATGTACATACCTCTTTTCCTGTTCGACTTTCTCTATTCTCTTCCAGAGTTTATTGACAAGCATCTCTTGCTCCTGTTCCAGAGTATTCTCCAGATCTATCTTCTCGCGACGCAGCTGCAGACAGGGAGGAGGATCACCCTATTTTTGTGTTTTCAAGAGCCAGTTGTTATTGTTGTTATTATTGTGGGCTGAGAAATGATAATTATACACATCGTAGTTCTATCTCTGCTAGTTCTCCCCTTACTGTACTCATGTCCATACCTTCTCCAGAGTAGACTGTTTCCCGAGAACATCTTTCTCCAGTCGTCCAATCTTCTTTGTCAGTTTGGAGATCTGCTGTTCCTGCTCCTGTTCCAGAGTCTGCTCCAACTGCGCCTTCTCTCTTCTTAGCTGAACAGAGAGGGAAAAAGGTAAAATATTTCTGACAATTGTTACTGTAATACAATTGAACCTCTCTCTAAGGACACCCCTGAAATGAGGACACCTCTCTACTAAGGACACCTTTCTTTCCCAAAGAACAGTTCTTGCATGCAATTCAACCCCTGAAATGAGGACACCTCTCTAATAAGGACACCTTTCTTTCCCAAAGAACAGTTCTTGCATGCAATTCAACCCCTGAAATGAGGACACCTCACTAATATGGACACTTTCTTCTGTCCCATTGGTGTCTGGATTAGAGGAGTTCCACTGTAATACCAGCACACAGACTGCAGACTATAGTCTAATGACCTGAGCCAACTTTCTGGAGAGATCGTTGGTAAGAAACTCCTCCTCCTGCTCATAGTTCATTGCCAGAGCCTCTTTCTCCTTCTTGAGAGAATGTATCTTCTTCAAGAGGGTGTTGGAGATGAATTCCTCTTCCTGCTCCGCCTGGGCTTGCTGCAGATGATGGGGAGAGGGAAAATTGATACATGTATATAGAGAGTTGAACCTCTCTAAGGAAACCCTTGAGGACAGGGGATTTCCCCCAAGAACAGTTAATTGCATATGTATGGCACTACAGTTTATGAGAAAAGGAGAAGTAGAAGAGGGAGGGGAAGAGGGAGGAGGGAGGGGGACTCACAATATTGACGCTGGCTTGCGAAGACGTCTGTTCTCTTCGTGAAGATTTCGACACTTTAGTTTTAGAATCTCGAGTTCTGATTTGAGCACCGCATTCTCCTGCAGCACCGTAGCCAGTCTTGCACTCTCTGCTTCTAGAGAACATCAACAATCGACATACAATGGGATATAATGTGAAGGTATATGTTTGCGAGTGGGAGCAAGTTAGTATCAATGTCAGCTAACTTGCTTCCAATCGCCAATACCATTGTGCTAGTATATACATAATGTAGGAGTAAAGGATAGAGGGACGAAGCGCCTTATTTGACAATTTGCAGCAGTTTCTACAAACGATGCTCCATTCAGACAGGGGCAGTGTATCAATGACTAGTAGTGTACCTCCTGTTGTGACTTCACTTGTACTCATTGAACTCTCCAGACTCTCCATAGAGCTACTCTGAGTGGCCTGTTGGGAGAGAGAGAGAGAGCGGAGGAGAATGATAAACTGGCAGAGAGAGAGAAAGTAGGAAGAAGGACTGGAAAATGGATGAGAGTTGAAAGTCCTAGTCTTCAAGTATAATACAGTGGAAATGCACATCAATGGGACAAAAGAAAGTGTCCATATTAGTGAGCTGTTCTTCTTGAAGATAAAGTTCTTGGGGAAAGAAAAGGTTAGAGAGGGGTTCCACTATATACACACATTATACTGTATTCAAATTCTAAATTCCAAACTCTGAACCCTCACCTGGAGACTGGACATGCTTGGTGTCTTTGAGCAAGGACGCGGTGCTGCCATGGCAACCTGTACACCACAACACGAAAGAGAAGAGAGAGAAAGGGAGGAGAGTGGGAATATAAAGCGAGGCAGGAAGACTCATGTCTGAATGTTGACACACACACACAGTACGACACGGCAGCAAACAGACAGACACAATTTCCTTTCCAGTGACTATTGCCTCATCCACACCACCAGTATACATGCCCTGCTGACGTGGGCACGTTCTAAATATAGAACTGGAACAGCTGCAACCCTGGCTGAGTCTAAAAATAGAACCCATACCCAAACCACAGTATCTACTGCTGTATGCAGGACTATAGAGTACCCAGGCATTGTACAACACTAACTCCTGTTCGGTTTACCACTACTGTTAACTCATGCTAAGAACAAACAGAGGAAATACGTAAAATTAGCAGGTTGGCTTTAGAGGTAGGTATGTGGAAAAACGCCATACAGTGGAAACGGAGTGGAGCTACTCACCTCAGGAAGAGTCTGTAGTGGACGAGAGAGACCTCCTCCAGTCAGACAGAAAAAGCTCTCTCACACAAAGCCAGCGAGCTGTGACTGTCGGGAGCAAGGGTTATAGCTGCTGAGCTAGCTCTTGCTAGCCTAGCCTAGCTCGCAAAACCACGGTCACGTGACAACGACGAACCTGTTGCGCATGCGCACAAAGCATCGCGTCAACTTGCATATATTAATTGTGGCGACGTTGATTCTTGAATGTTATCACTGTGGCAGTGGGTGGATACATTCTGTTCTTCTCGAAGAGCTTGCGGATCTAAGTTTAGCTGTTGTTCAGACATTTTCCTTTGCATGAGAATATTATGGCCAAAAAATGTAAGAAATTTAGCCGATGCAGTGACATTGGACTGAGTAAAGTGAGGGAAGTGTTTGATTTTTTGAACCTGATCTTTGAATCCTCTTTTTGCACAGAGTCTGGAGTCTGGTGGCATAATATTGTACATAGCTATAAAGAGATGTGCTGCTTGTATTCAGACTAGTTGACTCCATAACAACCATGCAGTCTAATGAGCTAATGGCACTGGACAAGTATAATTTGTCAAATAAATGTCACAGAAGGCATATTTGGCAGACATCCTAATATCTAAAATCCAAAAACACCATCCGTTCATTAATCAGTTATATATAGAGTATCTGATGCATTTTCCTCTATATAGAGCTAGACTCTGAGACAGATATCACTTTTGCCAGAGTGTTTACTGCTGTTAAATTAGTTGTCAACTCCCTGGATCACTGAGAAGATGAAAAGGACTGTTCTGCTGGTCTTGTGTCTAGTGACACTGTCTAATGTAGAGCTGGGACAGTCTCAATGTGATGGTAAGGGATAATGCTTGGCATCAACATCATGCCCTGCTCCATATATTGTGTTTGCTGCAGTTGTGAGGATTGCTGCAGCTGTGTATGAAGTTGTAGGACCAGCTTTGGAGACTATGCAGAAAGACATGAAGAATATGAAGTCTGACATGGCAAGCCTCAGCCAAAAGATTGACGAACATGACTATCAAATCACTACTGAGCTGATGAGAATGAACCAGAGCCTGACAGAACAGATCGTTAATAACAGTGTCCGTTATGCATGTGGAGGTACTGCAAACTGGAGACGTGCAGTCTACCTGGATATGACAGACCCCAACACCAACTGTCCCTCTGGCTGGAATATGACTGGATACTCCAAGAGAACTTGTGGCAGAGTTAGTACTGGACCTAGGACTTGTGACTCAGTCTTCTTCCCTGTCAGTGGAGGACCATACAGTCAGGTGTGTGGCAGGATCAGAGCCTACCAGTATGGACTGTACCTGATGCCTTCTTGGGGTATAACAGAGGTGGACAAACTACAATTGACAGTGTCTATGTCAGTGGTGTGGCTGTAATGCATGGCAGTCCTCGACAACACATCTGGACATTTGCTAATGGAGCATGGGAGAATACGGCCTTATACACCCGCCACAACAAATGTCCATGTGACATTAGTAGTATTATACAAATCCCACCATTTGTTGGAGAAGATTACTTCTGTGAGTCTGGGTATGTATCCTGGGTACAGAAATAGTACTGCAGAGTACAGACTCCACTCCAATGACACTCTCTGGGATGGTGAAGACTGTCACTCCACCAGTACATGTTGCTCTTTCCACAATCCTCCATATTTCACCAAAACCCTCAACCAGACAACTACTGATGACCTTGAGCTGAGAATGTGTTTATGGAATACCATACATAATGACAACATAGCAGTGGAACTGGTTGAGTTGTATGTAAAGTAGTTAAAAAGCTGCTACTGACTGAAAACAAATATTCATACAGTTACCTTCAGGCTCTGTGTTTTGTGTACATGTAGTTTACATAGCTAGCACATCCATTCAGGAGTTGAGTTGCGCATGCGCATAGTTTTTTGCGGCACGTGTCCGAAAATAACGAAAATCGGCTGACTTTGAAATATCGAACAGAAGCTCCCTGTACGGTATGTTTGCAGCGACAACTCTCCCTCTCCCCAAAACTAAACTTAGAGCCCCCTCTATTGCAAGCTCCAACCCCGCCAGCAACCGCTCTCCACAGTCCGTGTCTCTCTACGGGAGTTCAGGCTGTGCGCGCGGCCTCATGAACGAGAGGAAACACAGCCGTACGCTCTCAGGAGCCTCCAAAACCAAAGACGACCCCGCAGTACGTTTTCCCGTTGCATACCTCACTCCGTGAAGAACGCAGCACCCTGCGCGTTCTATTTGCGTAGCTCCTTTCTCGCTCCTCCCTCCCTCTCTCTCTTTTCCTGATTTTCAGGTAGCTACGCCTGGGGAGTTTGTTCGTCGCTATGGAGGCAAGAGAGTGATAGAGAAGGTCCTGATAGCCAACAATGGGATTGGGGCAGTCAAATTCATTCGCTCAGTTCGGAGATGGAGCTACGAAATGTTCAACAACGAGAGGGCGATCACGTTCCACGCCATGGTAACCCCTGAAGACCTCAAGGTGAGCTGTACAACATAGTCACTGAGAGATGAGAAGAGCTTGTATATCAGTGGATGGCATTCGTTTTAGGCATAAGACTATGTATACATACAGTATGGAATGCATGGTCAGGTGCGAAACATTATTATGAACAAACAACCGCAGAAAAGATAAGGAATATGTGTTTAGTACTTTACCTAGAGTTTAGCTGGTTGCAGTTGCTTCCTCAACTCACGAAAATAATTGGCGTATATATATACGACCGACCGTACGTCATGTAAGTGCGCATGTGCGGCTTCGTTACACGCTTCTTTTTATCCGAAATCATTTCCAGTTTTTTTTCACATGTGCTACCTGCGCATGCGTGAGGATAACGTGCTTCTACATGCTGCTACTCCCGCTCGCCAAAAATGCCATGCATTCGCCTACTAGTAGTTGTATTATGGTCACATGCTCCCATTGTGCAGCTGGTAATAGTATTGTGAGAAATCACTTGCCAGTACATGATTGTGGGGAAATTGCCTTTGAATAGAATTCGCGAGCAATTTACTAATGAATCTAATTGGCAGCTAGAGCAGCGAGCCCATCTTGTCCCTGAATTGTGTGGGTTTTGTATTTGTGTGTTAGATGGAGCTGTCCATTCTGCGAAGATTTATGTCAATTCTCAATCCTGAGCACTTGTGTTCACCCACCAGTAATTCATCATTCAACAACCCCCCCCCCCCTCTCTCTTGACAGGCTAATGCAGAGTACATCCATCTAGCAGACAATTTCATCTTGGTCCCTGGAGGGACTAACAACCATAACTATGCCAATGTCGACCTCATTCTAGACCTAGCCAAGAGAATACCTGTACAGGTAATTGACTCAGAGAGAGGTGGGGGGAGGGAAACATGATATGAATTTAGTGGGCTTCATGTTATTTCATTTATTCCCACTCACCACTTTAGTAAAGTTTTTGCAAACTTTTGCGGAATACTTTGAGGCATTTTCCCATTTCAGAGTATGTAAGTATTAGTGCAAATTGTGGAGTAATTATTTGGACACACCATTGTAATGGTTGAGTTCGTCAATACTAATTTAACCCTCTCCCCACAGTCAGCAAATACTAGTTTAACCCTCTCCCCACAGGCGGTGTGGGCGGGGTGGGGTCACGCCTCAGAGAACCCGAAGCTGCCCGACATTCTCCACAAAGCCAACATCGCATTCCTCGGGCCGCCAGCCTCTGCCATGTGGGCCCTCGGAGACAAGATTGCCTCCTCCATCGTGGCCCAGACCGCCTCCGTACCCACCCTCCCCTGGAGTGGGATCAGGTGACCCCCTCTCATTACACCACATTATCCCATTACCCCATTCCCCCATGGTGACCCTCTTATTCCCATTACTCCATTCCACGTGTCACATGTCACATACCATTGCGTACTCTATGCGATTGCCTCTTGGTCCATTCGGTTCCTCAGTATCAGTGGTTGATAGAATTTACCATTCTCCCATACATCATTCCCCCATTCCCCCATTCCCCCGTTCCACCAGGTCTGAAACTGGACCAGTGTCCCTCTGACGTCAAGCGAGGGAGGATGGCCCACATTCCAGACCAGCTATACAGTGAGGGGGGTGTGTCTGATGCCAGACATGGAATGGAGGTGGCAGAATGGATCGGGTACCCAGTCATGATCAAGGCCTCGGCAGGAGGTGGCGGGAAGGGATACGCAAGGTCCGTAACTCTGAGGAATTCCCGTCTCTGTTTGAGTCTGCCGTTAGGTTTCTTCTCTACACAAAACTAATCCACAGAGCCTGGAGTCTGGTAGCATAATATTATACATAGCTATAAAGAGATGTACTGTTTGTATTCAGACTAGTTGACTCCACTTAACAACCATGCAGTCCAACTGAATAATGAGCTAATAGCAGTAAAATGAAAGCATATTTGGCAGACATCCTAATATCCAAAACCATTAAGTAGTCACTGTAGGCCCAAGTGAGGAAAGAGTGAAACAAGGTGAGAAGATAAGACAGAACAGCAGAAACTAGACATGCAGGCTGGGACAACATAGCAGAAGTGACTAAACAAGGTGAGGATAACTGTCAGCAGGGGTGTATATAGCCACTGTCCAGGTTGCTTTTGTTTGTCTGTTCTCTGATGTGTCATCCTACTAATGATTGTTGTGTAAACTTTGGACACAGCAGCCTATACCTTTGAAGTTGGACTACAAAGAGTAGCATTTCCCTTGAGCTAGACTCTGCCGTTTGGCAGAGTGTTTACTGCTGTTAAAATAGTTGTCAACTCTCTGGAATACTGACAAGATGGACAGGACTTTTCTGCTTGTCTTGTGTCTAGTGACACTGTCTAATGTACAGCTGGGACAGTCTCAATGTGATGGTAAGGGAATAGATAATACTTGACCCATCACAATAAGATATGTGTTTGCTGCAGTTGTAAGGATTGCTGCAGCTGTGCATGAAGTTGTAGGACCAGCTTTGGAGACTATTGAGAAAGACATGAAGAATGTGAAGTCTGACATGGCAAGCCTCAGCCAACAGGTTGAGAAACTTGAAACCAGATTGGGTTCTCTGAATGAATCAATGAGAGATGATTTCAGTGGTGTTGAGAGAGGGTTAAACAGCACAGCCAACATGATATGTGACAAGATCAAAGATCTTCCTGTTTACACATGTGGAGGTACAGGAGGTTGGAGACGTGCAGTCTACCTGGATATGACAGACCCCAACACCAACTGTCCCTCTGGCTGGCAGCTCACTGGATACTCCAAGACAACTTGTGGCAGAGTTAGTACTGGATACGATACTTGTGACTCAGTCTTCTTCCCTGTCAGTGGAGGACCATACAGTCAGGTGTGTGGCAGGATCAGAGCCTACCAGTATGGAGTACCTGATGCCTTCTATGGGTATAACTATGGTGGACAAACTACAATTGACAGTGCCTATGTCTGTGGTGTGGCTGTAATGCATGGCAGTCCTCGACAACACATCTGGACATTTGCTAATGGAGCATGGGAGAAAGATGCAAGATCCAGAACGTGGAACTGTCCATGTGACAATGGAGCTACATCCATCCCACCATTTGTTGGAGAGGATTACTTCTGTGAGTCAGGGTATGTGTTTCCTGGGCACCGAAATAATGCTGCAGAGATCAGCTTCCACTCCAATGACACTCTCTGGGACGGTGAAGACTGTCTCTCCACTAATACATGTTGCTCTCTCCACAATCCTCCATATTTCACCAAAACCCTCAACCAGACAACTAGCGAAGACCTTGAACTGAGAATGTGTCTCTATGAGGGCATACAATATGACAACATAGCAGTGGAACTGGTTGAGTTGTACGTCAAGTATGCTACTGACTGAAAACAAATATTAACAGTTACCTTCAAGCTCTGTGTTTTGTGTAAATGTCGTTTACTAGCATAGCTGGCAGTAGAGAGAAAAATCATCACAGTCCTGCAGGAGTTGAGTATGCGCATGCGCGTGGTTTTTGCGGCACATGTCCGAAAATAACGAAAATTGGCTGACTTTTGAAATATCGAACAGAAGCTCCCTGCAGCGACAGCTCTCCCTCTCTACTTAACTAAACTTAGAGCCCCCTCTATTGCAGGCTCCAACCCGCCAGCAACCGCTCTCCATCCGTCGTGGCCTCGCTCCGGGAGCTCAGGCTGTGCGCGCGGCCTCATGACGAGAGGAAACACAGTCGTACGCTCTCAGGAGCCTCCAAAACCAAAGACGACCCCGCAGTACGTTTCCCGTTGCGTACCTCACTCCGTGAAGAACGTAGCACCCTGCGCGGTTCTATTTGCGTAGCTACACCTTCATAATTCCTTTCCTTTCTCCCTCCCTCTCTCTCTTTTCCCTGAATTTTCAGGTAGCTACGCCTGGAGAGTTTGTTCGTCGCTATGGAGGCAAGAGAGTGACAGAGAAGGTCCTGATAGCCAACAATGGCGATCGGGCGCAGTCAAGTTCATCCGCTCCGTTCCGAAGATGGAGCAGTACGAAATGTCGCACAACGAGAGAGTCCACTCCATGGTAACCCCTGAGGACCTCAAGGTGAGCTGTACATACATAGTCACAGAGAGAGGAGAAGAGTTGAGGATCTAAGTTTGGCTGTTGCTTTTGCATGAGAATATTATGCCAAAAAACTGAGTACTAAGAAATTTGGCGATGCAGTGAATTGAAGCGAGTGCAGTGCCAGGAAGTGTTGACTTTTTGGTACCTGTTCTTTGACTAAACTAATCCACAGAGCCTTGAGTCTGGTAGCATAATGTTTATACATAGCTATAAGAGATGTGCTGTTTGTATTCAGACTAGTTGTAACTAAATAATGAGCTAATGGAACTGGACAAATATAATTTGTCAAATAAATGTAACAGAAAGCATATTTGGCAGACATCCTAATATCTAAAATCCAAAGCACTATACATTCATTAATAAGTTACAGAGTATCTGATGCATTTCCCTCTATAATATAGAGCTAGACTCTGAGACAGATATCACTTTTGCCAGAGTGTTTACTGCTGTGAAAATAGTTGTCAACTCTCTGGAATACTGACAAGATGGACAGGATTTTTCTACTAGTCTTGTGTCTAGTGACACTGTCTAATGTACAGCTGGGACTGTCTCAAATTGATGGTAAGGGAATAGATAATACTTGGCATCACAATAAGATATGTGTTTGCTGCAGTTGTGAGGATTGCTGCAGCTGTGTATGAAGCGATAGGACCAGGTTTGGAGACTATTGAGAAAGACATGAAGAATATGAAGTCTGACATAGCTAGCCTCAGCCAAAAGGTTGATAATCTCACACAAGAGGTTGAGAAACTTGACACTAGACTGAGTTCTCTGAATGAATCAATGAGAGATGATTTCAGTGGTGTTGAGAGAAGGTTAAACGGTCTCAATAACACAGCCAACATGATATGTGACAAGATCGACGATCTTCCTGTTCACACATGTGGAGGTACTGCAAACTGGAGACGTGCAGTCTACCTGGATATGACAGACCCCAACACCAACTGTCCCTCTGGCTGGCAGCTCACTAGATACTCCAAGAGAACTTGTGGCAGACTTATTTTTGGATCTGAGACATGTGACTCAGTCTTCTTCCCTGTCAGTGGAGGACCATACAGTCAGGTGTGTGGCAGGATCAGAGCCTACCAGTATGGAGTACCTGAAGCCTTTTATGGGTATAACAATGGTGGACTAAATACAACTGACAGTGCCTACGTCAGTGGTGTGGCTGTAATGCATGGCAGTCCTCGACAACACATCTGGACATTTGCTAGTGGAGCAGTGGAGAATTATACAACACCAGCAACCTTTAACTGTCCATGTGAAATCGGCAATAATGTTGCATCCATCCCACCATTTGTTGGAGAAGATTACTTCTGTGAGTCAGGGTATGTGTATCCTGGGTATGACAACAACACAGACTGGTATAGACTCCACTCCAATGACACTCTCTGGGATGGTGAAGACTGTCACTCCACCAGTACATGTTGCTCTTTCCACAATCCTCCATATTTCACCAAAACCCTCAACCAGACAACTACTGATGACCTTGAGCTGAGAATGTGTTTATGGAATGACAATGACAACATAGCAGTGGAACTGGTTGAGTTGTATGTAAAGTAGTTAAAAAGCTGCTACTGACTGAAAAACAAATATTTTAGTTACCTTCAGACTCTGTGTTTTGTGTACATGTCTTTTACTAGCTAGCATAGCAGTAGAGAGAAAAATCATCACAGTCCATTCAGGAGTTGAGTGTGCGCATGCGCATAGTTTTTGCGGCACGTGTCCGAAAATAACGAAAATCAGCTGACTTTTGAAATATCGAACAGAAGCTCCCTGGATTGTTTGCAGCGACAGCTCTCCCTCTCTACTAAACTAAACTTAGAGCCCCCTCTATTGCAGGCTCCAACCCGATATACTGATATGATAAACTGGCAGAGAGAGAGAAAGTAGGAAGAAGGGCTGGAAAATGGATGAGAATTGAAAAGTCCTAGTCTTCAAGTATAGTGAAACTGCACATCAATGGGACAAAAGAAAGTGTCCATATTAGTGAGCTGTTCTTCTTGAAGATAAAGTTCTTGGGGGAAAGAAAAGGTGTCCTTAGAGAGGGGTTCCACTATATACACACACTATACTGTATTTCTCTCACTCAAATTCTAAATTCCGACCTCTGAACCCTCACCTGGAGACTGGACATGCTTGGTGTCTTTGAGCAAGGACGCGGTGCTGCCATGGCAACCTGTACACCACAACACGAGAAACAGAGAGAAAAAGAGAGGACGAGTGGGAATTTAAAGCGAGGCAGGCAGACTATTGTCTGAATGTTGACACACACACACTAGACAGGCCAGCAAACAACAATTTCCTTTCCAGTGACTGTTGCCTCATCCACACCACTAGCTATATACATGCCCTGCTGACGTGGGCACAGTATAAATATAGAACTGGAACAGCTGCAACCCTGGCTGAGTCTAAAAATAGAACCCATACCCCAACCACAGTATCTGCTGCTGTATGCAGGACTATAGAGTACCCAGGCATTGTACAACACTAACTCCTGTTCGTTTTACCACTACTGTAACTCATGCTAAGAACAAACAGAGGTAATACGTAAAATAGCAGGTTGGTGGAAACGGAGTAGAGCTACTCACCTCAGGAAGAGTCTGTAGTGGACGAGAGAGACCTCCTCCAGCCAGACAGAACAGCTCTCTCACACAGCCAGCAAGCTGTGACTGTCGGGAGCAAGGGCTATTGCTGCTGAGCTAGCGCTCTATAGAGCTAGCAAAACCACGGTCACGTGACGACGAACCTGTTGCGCACGCGCACAAAGCGTCGTTAACTTGCGCATGGCGACGTTGATTCTCACTTGCCGTGGATACATTCTCGAAGTGTTTGTGGATCTAAGTTTAGTTGTCCAGGCATTTGCCTTTGCATGAGAATAATTATTATGCCAAAAAACTGTATTATTATAAGAAAATTGGCCGATGCAGCGACATTGATTGAGCAAAGTGAGGGAAGTGAGGGAAGCGTTGATTTTTTTAACCTGTTCTTTCACTGAAACTGATCCTCTTTTTGCACAGAGTCTGGAGTCTGGTAGCATAATATTATACATAGCTATAAAGAGATGTGCTGTTTGTATTCAAACTAGTTGACTCCATGGACTTAACAACCATGCATTCCAACTAAATAATGAGCTGATGGCAGTAAAATAAATGTCACAGAAAGCATATTTGGCTAATATCCAAACCACCATCCATTAAGTAGTGGCCCAAGTGAGGAAAGAGTGAAAACAAGGTGAGAAGATAAAGACAGAACAACAGAATGGGTGAGGAACAACAGAAAAAACTAGACATGCAGGCTGGGACAACATAGCAGAAGTGAGACTAGATTTGTCACATTGAAACAAGGTGAGGATAAACTGTCAGCAGGGGGGTCCAGATGGGGCTGAGTGTATAGCCACTGTCCACGTTGCTTTTGTTTGTCTGTTCTCTGATGCGTCATCCTACTAATGTATGGATTGTTGTGTAAACTTTGGACACAGCTCTGAATACAGCGTATACTAAGCAATGGATTGTTTGAAGTTGGACTACAAAGAGTACATTTCCCTCTATAAAGAGCTAGACTCTGAGACAGATATCACTTTTGCCAGAGTGTTTACTGCTGTTAAAATAGTTGTCAACTCTCTGAAGTACTGACAAGATGGACAGGACTTTTCTGCTGGTCTTGTGTCTAGTGACACTGTCTAACGTTCAGCTGGGACAGTCTCAATGCGATGGTAAGGGAATAGATAATGCTTGGCATCACAATCATGCCCTGCACGATGTGTTTGCTGCAGTTGTAAGGATTGCTGCAGCTGTGCATGAAGTCGTAGGACCAGGTTTCGAGACTATGCAGAAAGACTTGAAGAATATGAAGTCTGACATGGCTAGCCTCTGTCAGAAAGTTGAGAAACTTGATACTAGACTGAGTTTTCTGAATGAATCAATGAGGGATGACTTCAGTGGTGTTGAGAGAGGGTTAACCGGTCTCAATAGCACAGCCAACATGATATATGACAAGATAAAAAAACTTCCTGTTTACACATGTGGAGGTACAGGAGGTTGGAGACGTGCAGTCTACCTGGATATGACAGATCCCAACACCAACTGTTCCTCTGGCTGGCAGCTCACTGGATACTCCAAGAGAACTTGTGGCAGAGTTAGTACTGGATCTAGGACTTGTGACTCAGTCTTCTTCCCTGTCAGTGGAGGACCATACAGTCAGGTGTGTGGCAGGATCAGAGCCTACCAGTATGGACTGCCTGATGCCTTCAATGGGTATAACAGTGGTGGACTAAATACAACTGACAGTGCCTATTTTGCTGGTGTGGCTGTAATGCATGGCAGTCCTCGACAACACATCTGGACGTTTGCAGCTGGAGCATTTGAGAATACGACACAATACAGCCGCAGCAACTGTCCATGTGACATTAGTGGTATTAAACCAATCCTACCATTTGTTGGAGAAGATTACTTCTGTGAGTCCGAGTTCGTGTATCCTGGGTACCGAAATTATACTGCAGAGTACAGCTTCCACTCCAATGACACTCTCTGGGATGGTGAAGACTGTCACTCCACCAGTACATGTTGCTCTCTCCACAATCCTCCATATTTCACCAAAACCCTCAATCAGACAACTAGCAATGATCTTGAACTGAGGATGTGTTTATATAGTTCCATACAAAATGAAAACATAGCAGTGGAACTGGTTGAGTTGTACGTCAAGTAGCTGCGTATATACTGTCCTTCACTCTTGTTAGTACTGATTGTAGAAAAAGGCTCAAGTTGGGCTCAATATATATTATATACACACATGTTTTACAATACACATACATTCTACAATGTGACGATTTGATTTTTCATGTCCACATCATCACGGTACGTATGCGCTGTAGTTTCTGTACCTACTGTGCATGCGCTCAGGTGTGGTTGCCATGGAAACTGCCCTCGTGCCAAATAGCAGAAGGAGGGAGTAAGAAAGGTTTTCATTGGCTCCAGAATGAAGTGGAATCTCCTCTGACGAAGGCAGTTCGTGTGACAGCTGCTCTGGTCCTCAGAAACCTGTATCGAATGGCTCCCTCCACTCACAGGTATTATACGGAACACTTCTCACCTGCTTTGTTTCTACCTTTATCAAGACGTGAGCCAGAGCAGAAGTGGTGCACATAGTGTATGACATATTGAATGTGAATGAGGGAAACAAGGTGAGGATAAACTGTCATCAGGGGCTGAGTGTATGCCCTGTCCAGGTTCTTGTCTGTTCTCTGCTGTGTCATCCTACTAATGTATAAACCCAATGGATTGTTGTGTAAACTTTGGACACAACTCTGAATACAGCGTATACCAAGCAACGGATTGTTTGAAGTTGGACTACAAAGAGTAGCATTTCCCTCTATAAAGAGCTAGACTCTGAGACAGATACCACTTTTGCCAGAGTGTTTACTGCTGTTAAAATAGTTGTCAACTCACTGGAGCACTGACAAGATGGACAGGTCTTATCTGCTGGTCTTGTGTCTAGTGACACTGTCTAACGTTCAGCTGGGACAGTCTCAATGTGATGAAGGGAATAGATAATGCTTGGCATCACAATTTTGCCCTGCACAATACTGGATGTGTTTGCTGCAGTTGTGAGGATTGCTGCAGCTGTGCATGAAGTTGTAGGACCAGCTTTGGAGACTATTGAGAAAGACATGATGAATATACAAAGTTTCATCTCCATGCGTGCTACCTTTAGCACGTTTGATAAGAAGTGCCTGAGGCGTTCAAACAATATGTAGTTGTCATGGAAATGATGTAATACGCATGTGCATCAAGTTGTCATCTCCAGGCTAGAATGTTAGAAGAGTGCAGAAGTAATGTTAAAGAAATGTGCCTTAGGCTACTTGTAGTTAACAAACATGTGGTCGTCATGCAAACATGGATTTATCATGGAAATGATGTAATATGTATTAGTACCAAGTTTATGCGTGCTACCATTAGAAAGCTTGAGGAGTGAAGTAAATTTAAAGAAAAGTGCCTGAGGCTATTTGTTATTGTTTACGAACATTAATTGTTGTGATTTTGAATTTGATGGTTGAATACATTATGTATACAAAGTTTCATTCACAGCCCTCACCATTTGTGAGTTGCCCTGACACATGAGATCCTATTATAATGTATTGCCTGGGGCTAATTGTTGTTGTTATTATTAACACATATACAGTAGAACCCACAATTAAAGGACACGCTTAATAAAAGACACGCTGAAAAATATCGGTAGCTAAAGGACAGATTTAAGGTCACAAACGTTAACTTCTGGTAAATCTAACATCTGAAGCGAGGACAGCCTCCCCTATAAAGGAACAAAATATTTATGCTAGTGAATATTCGGAGGTTCCAAGACTAGAAATAGAAGGCGTCACAAGTGTATCTCAAAACCAAGCTAGGTATAACTATACACGAGGAATAAACTATGCATTATCCACAGTAGGGGGTGTAGGACCAACCTTAGTGTCCGTGCCTATAGCTCCCTTATTCCAGGCATCAAAACCGGTTGGTAAATAACAACGATGTACTTTGCAAAATGTAAGAAAGAGCTAACAGATGGTAGCTGCGGAAGTCAGCTCTATTATTAATTTTCAGTTGGCAAGATCATTATAGTGTAATGAATTTTCTGTTCAAAAATAGCAGTAATAATTATATTGTTCTTGAGTACAGTCGAAAAGCGTTCATTATCAAAAATGTACAGGTATAGTAAGGTCCCAGAATCACAGCTTGTCATTTTCTACCATTATAGCACTGTTGCGAGAGCTGTAGGAAAAGAATTAATAGTGGTGGAGTGAAGATGTGTGCAGAACAGTCATGAACCCCACACTTCTGTCTTAGTGAAGTGCATTGGACACTGCAAAAGGTAGACTCTGGACTAGACCATGGACTGGACAATGGACTGACTATTATAATTATGTACTAAAGAGATGCTCATTAATAGTGTAGGAGCAGAAAGGTAGAAGGAAACTTGTCAAGACTGCTTTGAGCAGTCTATAGTCCTGGCCATTCGTCAGAGAAAAGGCGATGGCTATATTATACACGATTCTAGCTGAAGGAGATCACTGTGTCCTTCACTCTATATAATATCCCTGACACCTGGCCAGAACATTGCAGGACCCACCGTAAGACTAGAGCCACTTTGGGGCAGTCCAAGCGTGTATATGACAATTCGTTGTGTCTGGTTTACCGATGTCCCTAACAATTGCCTGTTTCATTGGTGTGGTTGCACAAGAATGAAGCTAGGAATGCCTAGAGTGGCTGCTCCTTGCAACACTGATGATGACTCCACTGGCTCCTGAAATACTTCGAGACCACCAAAAGCCGACTTGTATTTTGTACAACTGACCAAGTCCACGGTCAAGTCCAGAGTCTCCCATGGGCATAGAGTTTTCCCAGCAATAGTACAGTGGAAAATCCAGTACCAAACTCTAAAATGTCCCAAAACCAGAATGCACCAAGATAGAAATCCACTAGAAGCAAAATTAATACTTGTTGCATATATAATTATTAGACGCTCTATATAGGGATGGCACGGGTCACATCTCACGTGATCCGTGTACGAAACGCTTCAAAACCTACCGAGAATCACCTGCTATGCCTTAAAAGTACATTAGCAATAATCTACAGGCCCAACGACTTTATACTCAACTTCAGTCCACCCCACGAGAATTCGCTCATACGCGATTCCACGATTTTTCGTGTCATAGCTAATAATTTTTCTTCATCATCTTCTTCACTATCCGCTTTCAGGAACCAGCTGAAGTGCTGATTTTTTCACTAAACGTCTCCAGATTTGCCGGAAGTGTGCACGGACATCAAGCGGTCGTTTCTTTCTCGCCGCAAGTCACTACAGTAGATCGGGGAGCTGTTTTATGACAGACACAGAACAACGTCATTTTCTGCTAACTCAGCATCAGTGCGTGCGTGAACTGGGGCGTTGCAGCGCACACATTCGCCGCATGGCGGCGGGGATTGACAAATGTGTAGAACCGTGTACGAAACTTTTAGTCTCCAGTGCCTTCTGTAAGTCTACTCATTTTGCTGTGAGGAACAACTTCGCAGAGTCTGCGTTGTAAATATCAGCAGCGTTTATGTATAGTTATGTGGGCCTTGCTCTTGCCGGACGCTCAAGAGCCATTCTTAGTGCCTTAGGTTGTAGCTAGCATTGTAGTCTGATTGCCCATGAAACCGCCAATGTGTACCATAACCTATAAATTACGTCCTCGTAAAAGACAGTAGATGGGGTGGATATCTCTGTCTCTGCTACGTCTACGCCCTGCTTCAGGCACCAGCTGCCCATTATCTACTGCTTTCAGTGGTCAGAGTTTGTCAATGGTCAACGTCTCTACAACTTACCCATGAACATCAGAGTTACTGTAACCATGAAATGCAGTGTTGTCATACCTGTTCTTTAAAAAAATTTCAGAAGATATAGGGATGGCTTGAAGCACCAAAAAGGAAGAAACAAGGGGCCATTACACAGCAAAGATGCACAAAGCTACAAGGCAGTGCATCTTTGCTGTGTAGTGACTCCTAGTTTCTCTCTTTTTGAAGAAATGATTTTCCACTTGTATAACATGAAAAGAACTAAAGTGCAAACCCTCGGCGCAAAATGTGCGCGTTGTAGCGTTGCTGTATGCTTGGCCATATGCGTCGTCAATGGAGCCAGTAACATGAGTCTGGCTGTAACACAGGCTAGATGTGGTTGCATCAGAGGGCTTAGCGGTTAGAGCAATTGCTCAGGTGTTTCAGAGGCTCTCACATTTGCTTTATCAATCTATACTCTCTTCTGGGTTTTAATGCATTGCCAGACTCTGCTTTGCATTTAGATGGGAAGGCATGGCCGCATCCACAAACTGCTCGTCTCACGTGAGCTGTTATGCTACATTGCGGACATGCCTTGCTCAACTTGTTGTCCACTGGAACAAAGAAAAGAGCGATTAAAACTGACAGAGGAGAGACAAGACTTGCCCATATATACCGTCGATCCTATACAACCACATGGCGTATGCGCATACTCTGGCGAGAAACTGAACACGACGCGTACGCACCAGTGTAGCCTAACGGCAAGGGGGCGTGCGTGATTGCATCGCACGTTGGCTTTTTCGCTTGTTTTCACGCCATGTATCTGGAACGCAGTCGTTTCAGGAAAATCGCCACATTAGTGTGCATGTTCTCATTGTTCAAAAGCTGTTGGTTCCACTCATTGGCCGCCTCGTAGCCTGTAGTGCGAGAACTTGCGAGGACGGACAGACAGACAGACAGACAGACAGACCAAGTACAGTAACCCTCGCTGCGCTGAGGGTTAATAAGTTCAAGAAAACTTATACCAATCACACCCCTGACAAAATCCAATGCCAGCTTGTTGAAATTGCCTAGCTAACTAGACTACAGGCGGGTCCCTGTCACTATAAAGTAGGAGTAAATGAAGCAACTGTCCCAGGTAGGTTTGAATTCAGTGTTAATTCCCCTCAGCCCTAGCTAGCCCTGTAATAATTATTATTCTGTAAGTACAAATCATCGTGAGACACCTTCCCCTGCATGATCAACTTACCTTCCAGGCTCATTCACCAGCTCATTAAAGTCACTTTGACTTTTGTATCTGCACCAAAATACGGGAATACATCACCTTACACCTTACATAATGGATCAATTAAACATTGCACTACTCAGAACTGTCGTTTGGGAAGTATGATTTGCATTAGTGAGGCATCAACACTCCATTATGGCTCTTGTATGGTACAACCTGATTTAGGTGAAAAATTAAAGGTGTCCTTCTTTGTGCTTTACCATTACATTCAAAGAGCATTGGAGCAAAGGTAAAAGTATAAGAGCAATGATTAAGTACTACAGAGGATTGATAAAACGCAAAACTTACGACTGTTTCCTGTACTTCCAGCACAAGAAGAAGAGAATGATGATAATCAGTGTAGTGAACAAACCGGCAATGATGCCACCTAGAAGAATCCCTGACACTTGACCGGCGGTAGCCCCAGCACCTCCATTATCATCACCAGTGCGTTTCTCAGATTGTGGGTCCTCAGTATCAATGCCAGGTTTCGTTGGGGAGGTTATGGGTTGGGTGGTAGGTGTTTCAGCCACCGAGCAGTCTGGGCCATGGATGTTCTCAAGAGTAGGATCACAGGTGGGGTCCAAATAGTACCGCAGTCTGTCTATCTGGACTGAGCCTTTGTTGGTCTGGACCCAGGCTCCCATGATGGCCACCACCTCAGTTGCACTCCGTGAGGAAGTCCCCGTTATCCTGGCTCTGTAGGTGACGGTGTTGGGTGGGCCTGTTCGGCAACTGAACTCTCCCTGGCTCAGCTGGGGCTCACACTGGCAGAGTAGCAACATACTCTGCTGTAGGGACTTCTGTATCTGGCTCAGCTTGCCCTCTGTTTCTTCAGCCTGAGAACACGAGGCATTCAACATGGTTTCATGGCTTTCTTTATCAGTGACCAGACAAAAGTTAATGTGCACTATAGTTATAGCCCCACTTCATGTTGTCCATGGAATAAAACTATACTCTACCTTTACTGTGACGGATACAATAGCACTAAGGGAATAATGGGAATAAAATTGTCACGTTGCACAAAAGTTTGAGCTGACTCTATTCCTTCCTACAACCATTCGTGCTTTAAGTTTCCTTGTGTTGTGATAATTATTATACATCAAGTCCAGCTTGCAATTTTCATTTTCATTTCCCAAGCCTCGCCTATGTTTTAGTGCGTGTGGCGCAGATGCACTCTCAAACTGACTAGATTGCTATGCCGGCTTTTTCTCTTGTTTTCACAGCATATCTCTCAAATGCAGTCGTTTCTGGAAAATCGACATTTTCATTTTTAAAGGTTTGCATAGTTCTGAAGCTGTTATAGGCCGCCTCGTAGCCTGTAGTGTAAGAACAGCTGACGACAATCAGACAGACACACCAAGTACTGTAACCCTCGCTGCACATGTGCACCGAGGGTTAATTTGTACCTGCATTTAATAGTAGCCATACATCCTTTGGGCTCTCAAAATTTGAGATGCTTTTAAAATGAAAAGCACTAAAGTGCAAACCCTCGGCGCTAAACGCGCGAGTTGTAGTATCGCTGTATGCTGGCGGACAGACAGACAGAATGACAGAACGACTACCGTAACCCTCGCTGCGCATGCGCGCCGAGGATTAAAAAAGCTGTAGGGCTTACTGGTTTCACAATCTGAGCAAGAGTATAAAGCTAATGCATGTGCTCGATCAGTACACGGAAAGTAGAGATTGTCTGGATGACACATTCACATTTTATGATTTATTCAGGGAATGTGTATACTTACCACCCACTGCTCACAGTTGCCATTGCTTGTCTGGATGCGCACTTGAAAGTAAGCCAGCTTTCCTGCATATTAACAACAGCACAGTAGAAAAATATGCACATGAATACCATAGGACTATGCTAATACACATGCTCAGAGGTATATACCTCTAAGTGGTATCATAATAGGTTCAACTCACGTGTGCAGCAAGTAACACAGTATTCACCACAGTTTTTAGTCTCAGTGTCTGACTCTGAGAAAGGCTAGCTACATCAATAATTCTTTTTAATTTCATAGATTAATTAATATTGGCTTCTGGACACCCCCCATCTCTTGCCATCATAGTATAATAATGCTACATACTGAAACCACTGCAATTTTTCTGCTTCCTTGTTGCACTTATGATAATGTCATGCACTCATGAACCACAAGGGTATAGTATTCACACACTCACACACTCTCTGACCAAACTTCCTGGTTTACAGACAAGGGGTACTCACTGACTGATAAGCAATCGTAGTATACACATCCACCTACATTCCATTGCATACACACAGATATTAGTGTCTGTCAGCCTGTCTACAATTGACATGCACTCACATGAACCACAATGGTATAGCCAAAGTACGTTCGCGCTGAGAATGCACCTTAAAAATCTAGAATAACTTCCGATTCCAGCACCGTATGCGGCTACGCTTGGTATCACAATGTAGCGCTTCACATTCCATCGCATACTCAGATTTTAGTGTCTGTCTACATTCCATTGCTAAACTAGGGGAACAGTGAATCACATATGAATGAAAAACCAAGTCTGTGACTGTCCCTTGATGTGCATGGATGTATTATTGTGCAGGGAAGCAAACCCAACGTTACCTAAGTGACTCAATATACAACTTTTCTTGAACAAATTCACATAAGCTTTCCAAACTCTACACACTTTCTTACGTCCAACCACAATTCTATTGTACAGATTGGATGAAAAAGTTTCACATACGTAGTGATGGAGAGTTTCAACCGAAAGGGAGTTGGGAAACTAGCATTTGCACAAGCACTTTGCCGCATGTATTGATGGTCACATGAAAAGGTGGTTGTTAGTCCTGCTTTAGGGTACATATATTATGCGTACCTCCAGTTTCACTGCTGGTGGTGACAGTACTAGTGACCTCCGTTCCACTCTGGCCGTCCTCTGTAACCACGCTAACTCTGAATACGTACGCAGTGGAGGGAGTGAGGGGAGAGAAGATGATGGTAGTGTTATCTGTTGTCTTCCAGCCCTGCTCCCGGAAACTGGTGAACACCCCACTGGGGGAAATCCACTCCACCACACCAGAGTAAGACACCTTTGAAGATGAAATATCGAATGTTTATGAGAACCCTGTATGCCCTTTGGGGGTGGATTCAATAGTATCGGAAGCATGAGGCCGCATGTTTACAAAAAGTACAAGAACCCTGTCTGCCCTTTGGGGGTGGATTCATGTAGAGTATGTTACTTATTCACTCTTTATAATACCTCGGTATAATATTTACCTAACCCTTCATGAGCTGCGCCTGTGTATGCACATGCACATAGGCATGAAAACTTACGTTGTAGAATGTCTTCTCATCCAGCTTAAGATATTCAGGCAGTTCCCACTGCAGTGTAACACTTGTGTTAGTTGAGGAGGCACGGACATTCACCGGCTGAGGTAGACCTGCACACATTTACAATACTACTAAGGCTCCTAGCTTACTGTATAGCAAGAGCGATACATGCAGCTTACTAGCAAGAGCGAAAACAAGAATGCAGAATAATAGTGTGAGCCAGGGTACATTCATCGCCCGGCGGCCACTTGCTCAACAAAAGGCTTTTATTACCAGAGTGAAAATGTCAAACTACTTGCTGTTTGGGGTGTGCATATGTGAGGGGGCATGGGAAAAGGGACCTATATGGCTGGAATGTGAAAATTAAGTTTTTGTGGTTTTTCACCCTCAAAAACTTAATTTTTCACATTCCAGCCATATAGGTCCCTTTTCCCATGCCCCCTCACATATAATTATAGTACATGTGTGAAAGGTGCTGGCAAAACTGCTCTGTGCCAACGATGTTGTTTGTGTTAGGAAAGATAGCAAGGCTATACAAACTGAGTACAGGGACCTGAAAAAGTAGGATGTTCATGTGGACACATGGATGTCCACTGGCATGGGGCATAGATACACATTCCACAAATTAGTGTATTATTAGTACCGCCACTTGCATGATGGTTGGTATAATACATTAAGTTATTTCTTTTAAGCAGTTTGAATTCTTATACTGACATGGATGATGCAAAGAAACACTTTTAGAACAGGCGCAAGGCCAAATTTCAAGTAACATTGATATTTAATGCCTAGACTTATGGGAAAGCACTCTTTACTCCTACCTGGCAACCAAAACTGCATAATCGAAGGATCCCCATATTTTATTGTACACGCAGTGTGCAGTACATAATTATAATGCAGTTGCAGCTAGCCAAGAATCTGAGCTCTCCCAGTGACCAGCAACTGCGAGAGTCCATGTTTATGTCATTTTTCCAAAGCACCTGAAACTTATTGCAACTTTTGGTCAAGAAAAGCAAAGATTGAGACAGCCGCTTTTGGCATATATGCACATTCCACAAATTTGTGTAATTAGTACCCCCTCATATATAATTATAGTACATGTGTGAAAGGTGCTGGCAAAACTGCTCCGTGCCAACGACGTTGTGTGTGTTAGGAAAGATAGCAAGGCTACAAAAGGAGTACAGGGACCTAGGATGTTCATGTGCACACAGGGATGTCTGCCGGCGTGAGGCATATATGCACATTCCACTTGCATGATGGAATACATTTCTTCTTAAGCAGTTTGGTTCAAAGAACTGTTTTAATTATACCGCCATGATAATGCAAATTATCCCTTTTAGAACTGGCACAAGGCGTAATTTCAAGTAACATGATGATAATTAATGCCTAGACTTATGGGGGAAATTCTTTACTCCTACCTGGCAACCAAAACTGTATAATCGAAGGATCCCCATATTTTATTGTACACGCAGTGGTCATTACGTAATTATTATGCAGTTGCAGCTAGTCAAGAATCTGAGCTCTCCCAGTGACCACTAACTGCGACAGTCCATGTTTATGTAATTTTTTCCTAAGTACCTGAAATTATATGTTCTTATTGCAATTTTTGGTCAAGAAAAGCAAAGATTCAGTCAGACAGCCGCTTTTGATTGGTGCTACTACAGCAATCTAACCCTTCAGGGAACGACATGGTTACATCAGACATGCACGTAGGAAATGTGTTATGATTCAATACCTCGAGATTTTGGCCACCACGTCACAGCAATGATGTTTGACGTGAAAAGACATGATACAAAATCTTAGTCACAATTTTAATAAATCAGTACGATGCCTTGAACTGGCTCTCCTTAACATACATGAGGCATAATATGGCCTTTTGCTGAAAGACAAACAAAAACAGCATACTTGTTTCAAGTTTGCGCTATGTGTTATGGTTAAGGTGCCTGGGTCACCTATCCAAAATGTGTATACAAGCTTTGTGGATTGTGTAATAGGACATCATGCATAATTTAGCATTCCTCCATTACACTAATGACATTTTCTGGGTCTACTGACACTGAGACAGTGGACCTGTGCCTGAAAATGAGCTCTGAGTAATGTTCTGTGCAGTGCCAAATTGAAACAGGGCAGTGGTACTGCATTAGTTCAAAGCTATTACTAATAATAAAATATCAGGCTTCTATTGGATTTGTGACCCTGATATGCACAGCTGCTGTCTCCCACTAAATCCTCATAAGTGCCTATCCACCCGCACACATACCCCTAGTGCCTCATATATACACAGTACACATGTCACCCTCTACCAACAAATCATTTCAGTCACAAAGAGGCTCAATCACCTGGCTCAGGTACAAAGAGACTAGTCTGTTGGGAGTAGGGAGAGAGGGTGCCCTCTACTCTGCGTCCATTAATGATAACCACTGCACTCATCTGGAAGTGGTAGATGACTCCTGTCACACTCAGCCCCATGCACCCTGACCTCTGGCTCCCAGGAAATGACTGCAGGAAAAAGCACACAAGTCCAAACCCTCAGCGCAAGAAATGCACACACGTAGCGTTTATGTGCACTTAATGCATGAACTTTTAATAATTGATGGGCCAGGCTACACCACGCCACGTGGTTGACAGAGCCAGTTTTCGTTTTTGCTGTATGTAGCTGCATCAGTGAGTATCACATGCACTACAGGGTTGACTGTTCTCTAGTGGTTTCATGATTTCATTTGGGGTTTCCCCTATGCAGAGACACAAGGCTTATAGTATACTTCCTGTGGGCTGGCTACCTATACATAGGAGGGTAGTCAAGGAACATAAAAGGAAATCCTCATGTACACTGTACTTCCTTGGGATGTCCCTCTTGTTGTATCCAACATTCCCGCTTACCATATAGGGCATTCGGTAAGCGGGGACTGTTGCATACAACTATTATAAATATATACATACGTACAAGCACACACATTTCAAGACAACTAGGTTGGCTAATTATGCATTTGCTTATACCCTTCTCTCAACATGAAATCACAAGATTACAAAAGCAAGACAAGAGTAAAGCAAGAGTGTATATGCACTCTTTTTGACACATTAATGTTCGCAGCCATGACTCATAAGGTACAAGGTTTACTACTGGCAATATGTTTTCGTATGTACAGTGGCGGTGGTGGTACTCATGGATTTTCTTTCTCTATTACATCATATACACATGCATGCTGGAAAAGCTGCCCCGCTGCACACACACACAACCTCAGTCAGGACTCCTTTGATTGCAACTATCATAACTGAGGCAGCTGAACAGCAATGTACTGCAGTATCACAGCACCTTGAATGCAGTATTACTAGGAAGGTCGACCACATCAACCGCCTCAACAGAGTTCTCAACGACCTCTGCATACAGATTGTAGAGAATGATGGTCCCAACAGGGAGGGCAGGTTGTACCCATGTGGCGCACACCTCTGAGTTGAAGCCCACTCTAACGACCACCAACCTCGGTTCACTAGGACCTTTATACATAGAAGAGAGTTTTATGCATCAATATTATACGCAGTTAAAAGAAGAGGAAAGTTAGCAAAATTGACAGGTGAATAGACAGACAGGCAGACAGACAGACAGGCAGACAGAGAGGCAGTCAGTCAGTCAGTCAGGCAGGGAGGCAGTCTGAAACACAGACTGACGAACAGACAGAGAGACAGTCACAGACAGAGAAGAGACAGACTGACAGTCAGACAGGCAGAAAGAAACAGAGAAACATGCCTGATTCAAGTGTGGTGACTGACAGTGATGATGAGTAGCTGATAGACAGAGAACTAGAGCTCTTTCGCCCAATTCTAAAGTTGTAGCTTGTCAAGGGAGACAGCTCCCGGATGGTGTAATTCAGGCGTGTTACTTCTCCAAGAGTCGTGTAGGAAGAATAATAATAGACTCCCGTTTGCTGCTCCACGACATAGGCACTGAGTGGGAACCCACCGTCACAGTCGAGTGGGTCCCAGCCAATTTGAACCCATCTGGAGCTCCTTTGGATTAGCCGAGGTCTTCCAATCAGTGGCTGAGAGGCTGCATGTATGTTGTAAGACAGTGAATTTACCAACATCAAGTAGAATCTCCATAGGGATTTACAGGGCTTGTCCAAAGCATACAAATTAACAGAGCAAGAATTCACAAAAAGTCATACAAACAAATAATTTGTGGAGTATGTATGTACGTTGTGCATAGTCTATGTAAGTATTACACAGCACGATTGTTCCTATATACTTATCATTAGGACTCATTTGTCATAGAGGCTCTTGCCGGTAGTGTTTTGACTCACATCCATAAATAAGAGTGAAGTTTCTACTTGAACGACTGCCATCTGGATAGGTTCCAATGCACGTGTATACTCCTCCATCACATGCATTGAGGCGGCGACGGTAGACCGAGGCAGTTCCTATCTGCAGCACAGCAGTCCCTGGGAGGCATGATTATGGTTACTCTTTATACATATAGACATATACACACGAGATTGTGTGTAGATGGAATCACTCTATCATAGACGATGGTTGCTCTTTTCTTACCAAATTTTTGACAGCTGAGCATGGACACACACACACATGTGATGATTGTGTGTAGAATAAACTAATATACCTGCAATCACTGTAAGTAGCATGAATGTGAGAACACTTACAAACCTGAACACAGAACAACTACAGGAAGTGCCTTTTTTATGTAAAATCAAGGGCTTATCCTAATCTAAGTAGTTATGTAGTTGTAAAACTCATTTTTTGATCTTCAGTTTCCGACAAAACCCCAAACTTTTGTGTAACCCACTGTGAAGGACTGTGTGGGAGAGTACTAAGTAGGAACAGCAGTAACGCAGCCCTTCACCACTATTCATCCCTTGAGTGTAGACTAGAGTGTTGGAATTCCTCACCCCTTGTATATAGTTCCTTTTACCACACCCCCTAATTTACGTGCCACACCAACTAATTAATGACGTAATATGCATTAGAAACGTGTGAAACACATGGACGGATGTCGCAATCGCACATTACGCTCGTGAGACGCATGCGCAGACGTGAAGTGGGCGGGGATAATGCGAGGAAAATACTCAAGCTATCTCAGAACTGCGAACTATTGTCAGAGAGGACTGCTATTTTGGGACAAGGCCCAAACTACCGGGACTGTCCCGGCCATTCCGGGACGGTTGGCAAAAATGAGACATGCAACTATGAGACAGTGGCATGACGAGCCTTTGTAGCAGTACACAAAATTCTCACCATTGACAAAATGGGCTGCACGGAAGCCACTGTTTGAGATGCCAATGCGACTTCCATTGGCAAACCTCCACTCATAGGCTGCATTCGGTGTATTAGAGCCACATAGGACATTATAGCCAATACCATAGGAGTAGGCTCTGAGAACTTCAATTCCATCTCCCCACCTTCCAAATACCTGGAAGAGCTGCACATAGCCTGCATAACATGGGCAAAGACACTTGTACAAATGAAAAGCACTAAAGTGCAAACCTTCAGCAAACTGTGACATGCTCAGTACCGCTAATTGATGGGCTGGGCTATTAGTATGCGTGTACTCATGGTCTCCTGTTATTAGCTCGCGGAGAGTCTAACACGGGGTAGTGACAGTAGTAGATAGCATGTGGGAGTCGATGCACGCCCTTCGTTGTGATTTCTTATGCCTTCAAGATACACAGAGCGAGTGGACCCAGTTGAGGTAGGCAGGTGTTAATTAGCATAATATTGGCTAGTTGACTTGGTTTTCACGCCATAACTCTTGAACGAAGTGCTTTTGCGACAATCGCCAAATTTGAAATCAAGAGAGTGAAGTGCGAAACATGTTGGTGTTGCCTTTTGGCCGGTTTGTGGCAGGAAACGTGGTAATAGACACACACACACAGACAGACAGACACACAGACAGGTATATAGCTACTACAAGCTCCCTGGTTTAAATCCAGTCAGGCTCAGGCTCCCTGGAACCCTCGTTGCGCATGCATACCGAGGGTTAATAGGTACTGTGTACATAGCAGGTATAATTATACTTGGGAAAGACCATGTACTGTTGCTATGTATATAATTGTTCCTATACCAGAGCATAATCATCTCCTGTACTCAATTACATAAGATTGCACTCCACCTCTACACTCTGCTTCGGTTCCCAGTTTAACTGACTCACTGGCATTTGGCATGGTGACCTGTAGCCGTACACTCATAGGCCCATCTCCCACTGTGTACATGAGTATACTGAAGAGGTAGGTTGCCGACTCCTCCAGGTTAGTCACGATATAGGCCCGGTTTAGTGCCCCGGGGATATCAATAATGGTTTGGTTCCCGTCAATTTTGTCCACAAAGAGCTTGAAGCCCCTGAGGTCGCCATTAATGCCGACAGTGGTGGATGGAGGCTGCCAGGTGACCTCCACTACTGTGCTGTTGACTACTGTGACATGGAAAGCACTTATTGCAATGGTTGGAGCTGATGGGAAAAACAGAGAGGAAAGAATATTGTTACTGACACCAGTCAACATAAAATGTGTACAGAGCTTCAAAATGAATGTGCAATGACTTACGGCTCTCTTTTGTCAGGGCATAGACAGAGTCACTGGGCTCCCCATAGAAGTAACTGTAACAATTGCCTCCTCTGTATCTGCTGAAAGTTATCGCAGCACTGATGTTGATAGTGTAGTTCTGGTTCAACACAAGTCTTGACAGCGTCCACTCAGAGGTGCTACTTCTCACAAGGTCAGCTGTGTGCGACCTCGACTGCACCGTACATTACCCTGTACCTCCGTACATCTCTCAAGGCTGTTATGCGGAGATAAGACAAACCCTTCATAAATCGTGTGCGTCTTTTCCAAATCCCCTTTATCACTTTAGCCCATAAATTCAAGTGTTTTTACGTACTGAAGGTAGCACATGCCACATGGGGGTAATTCACCAACAGTAAACGCCTAACTCTATGGGTGGCTAGAATTTACTGATGCCAGTATATAACTTATTGAACTGTCATGCAGAGGCTGGCCAACTGTCCTAGGAGCTGTGTACTCCAGTTGTGTCAGTCAAGTGTAAATTTGCAGATCATTAGCACCCTTGACCTGGTGTGCTTGTTCGAATGTCTGGAGAGCATTTATCATCTCTTGATTGCACACTACGTTCAACAATCGATTTTTCCGTACTATACTTGCGCTGTAGTACAAACTACAAGCTCTAGCACAGTGCATGGTACAAGTGTGTTTGCAGTAGGAAATAGTTAATGTGCGGAAGTCAATGCTGTGCGCGTAATAATGGTACGAGGGGCGTGATTGAGATAGTCATGTATGAGCTGTATGATCTATCGTGACCACGTTCCGAGTACCATTATCATGCGCACAGCACGTGCTTCCGTACACTAAGTTATTTATTGTATGTGTGTGTGATTCAAAAGGCGGCGACCAGTAAAAACCGGTGTGTTTTGCACGTTCAGAACGGAAGAGAGGACGACAAGCTCGCGGAGCGCCCTTCCAGCATCTGTTTGTGTCAACGTCTGAGTCGAACTCCGTCTACGAAAAGGCCGCCGAGGCCGTCATTCCCGCAAAGCGTACGCTAGGCCGCGATATAGTAGGGTTCGTGTGATAATAGTACAGTTCCACGTGATATAGTACAGTTCATTCAAAAACTGTTGTGCATGCTGAATATAGCACTGGCGGCGCCTTGATTTGCCCACGCAAAATACAATAAGTGTGTATAACATTCTCTGGAGTGGAGGTCGTAAGTGTTTAACAAGTATTCAGTGAGTGTTACGTACGTCCCAAGCCACAGTGATACTGTAAGGAGCGACTGCAGGGAGTGATCCTAGTCCTGTCACAAGTGGAGCAACTGCATATGTACAAATAGACAATGAATAGCTGTTCGTAACATTAATTACTCTGATCCGGGGTTTTTTTTTATAGGAATTACTAAAATAGCTATGTAGCACCTGCTTCACTGTAACCGTAAAATGCCACCTAATTCCTTGCAATAGTTTTGTTGTTGGAGCTGCAGAGGAGCCCTAGAGGGAGGGTGCTGCTGTTGATCTATACCATGAGTACAGGAGGTCATGGCATATGTTAACATAGACCAAAAAGCATAGACCCCTTTTCACGGGTTCAGGCTAAGCAAACACAAGGTGTGTGACACAATTTTTGTTAGTACTTTTCCTTCATGTGCATAATTTGTGCATAACACCTAAGGACAACATTCAGCCTGAACTTGTAATTATGCAACCACTAAGATTTAACACGGCCCTGAGGTTAATACTGAACACTGCAACCATTAATTTGGCAAGCACAAACGACCTAACCTAATTGTCCATTCGAGCATATTTTATTCGGTAGATCTATCCACTTGCTAATCTAGTGTTGGGCCACTGCAGTACCTGACCTACCAGAAGTTCCAGGGTTACAGATGAGTCCAATACTCTCACTCAAGCTGCAGTCATGAACACCCCACCCTCTGTGAATGCAGTCCTCAAACCTGTCTGCATTCGAACAGTCAATATTATCCAGCAGAATGGGAGCTGTGTCAATGATAGGAAAGAGGGAAATACATTTTGCCATCCACCAAGTCCAACTACTCATGATGTTCTAATTGATAACATTTGTGTAGTCTTGCAGCTCATGCTGGTAAATAGCTACATACACTTACAGTGCTTACACAAGCAGGTGGTTATGTATCTGTATAAGCATACATACTGTGCTGGTGTGTACCTTTGCTAATAATAGCCTTTTCAGTTTCTGATTTTCTGTGTTTACAGTGGATATTGTAACCTAATCTACAATATACCTTAGTGGCAAATATCAATCTTTAATACTATGTCCCTATTATACTTTGGTAGCATAGCTATACTTTTAGTAACGATGAGGCACTAAATAATAACCGAACCTGAGCTTGGGGGAAATGGACTGTTGGCATAGCAAATGGCTCCATCAGTGTAGTTGAGACTCAAACAGGCGACGTCGGCATCGACAGCCCTGAAGTAGTCATCACAGACGTTGCCCCACTGTCCGTCGTGATACACCTGGAGTCTCCCAATGTAGGGCTCTGTCAATGGATTCTGAGACAAGAGTCTCATGGGCAGCGTGGAGGGCGGAACTGCAGCAAGACATACACATAGAGAATGGAACTTGTGTTTCTCTGGACATTTATACCCATTTCTCAGCAGTGTTATTATATGCCCACAAAATGCTGATGTACGTACTTAGATCTATGATTATCCAAATGATATCAAGTCATGTGACTGTCATGTGACAACAATGTCTGTTGAATCTAGGTCCTTAAAAACTCAGTTAGGCTTATTGTTTTTCTAAGACTTGAACTGTAATGGAAAGCTATAAGTATGCAATCTTGGTCTACAGGGGCCTCTTTGAGTGCAGAAAATTATCACAAAATTTGCGTAGAATTGGGATTGTAGAGGTACCTTAGAGTTAGGCTGATTTTGCAGCATTTTTACCTCGATTTGACTGCTTTGGGTACTAGATATATTTGTACAAGCTTCTGTTTTGCAAAGAGCAGTGATAATTAACCCTCGGCGCGCATGTGTGTGTGTGTGTGTGTGTTTGTCCGTTCGTCTGTTACCACGTTTTCTGCGACTACGCGCAACAAGACAACGAAATAGCAATACCAACAGGTTCATTGCTACACTGGCCTAATTTTTCAAAAGGCGATTTTCGTGTAACTACTGCGTTCAAAAGTCATGGCATGAAAAGCAAGTCAACAAGCCAATTACAAATTAGCACAGGCTTACCTCGTATCTTGAAGGCGCAATAAGTCACAACGAAGGGCGTGTATCGACTCCCGCATGCTATCTACTACTGTAGCTAGCCCGTGTCAGACTCTACGCGAGCTACAACGAGTAAACGCACACTTATAGCCCAGCCCATCAATTAGCGGTACCGTGCATGCGCAGTTTGCTGAGGGTTTGCACTTTAGTGCTTTTCATTGAATCTGTTCGTGTCAGTATGAGACACTAAGTGTTCTAACCGGAGAGAGAGGGCAACCATTAACCTAAACTTGCATGTCCAAAGTTATCTCTCCATGCATGTACCCAAACAACAAATGCCTCGTTACGACATATACAGTAGTCACAATTATATGCCAATTGTAGGTGTCTAGTATGTAAGACAGTAAACTAAGCAACTGACTCATATCAGCCGTTGCGATGACGACAGGATCGCTGTATTCCCCCAGCAGTTCGTTATAAGGGCACCACTGGTACTCCCCATCAGCCCTGATGTAGAGAGTGTATGAGGTGTTGAACGAGAGACGCGGGATAGTGTAGTTGAAATCCATCGACGTGTCGGTCACAGGCACCCTAGTGACATATATTCTAGCAAATGTCGCGTCTTCTGACGTTACGTTCAGCCTGAAGTCGATTGCTTGTATTAGCGGTGGAATAAACTTCAGCTGGAGAAGAAGAAAGAATGCAGTGAGACAGGGCGATAACAGAAGGCTGTTAACTGCAGTGGCTGTTCTTATGTATTTAATCAAAATGCAGACATTTTCTATTGAAGACAAAATGTTCCCCCATTAAAACAATAAGTGTTGGCCTGATCGAAGATTGCTGTGATTACTTTGTAGTGATTGGCTCAGGTTTTCATATCAGGCAAAGGTTGATGCATACCTGCCATCCCACTGTGATACTTCTTGTTGTTTCACTCAGTACTGTCATTTCATAGGGTACTGGCATCACAGTTGGGTCTGCAGATTTGGAGGAGAGTATGTTTATTACAAGGTGTAAGTTCTAAAGTGTAGCAATCTCAACAGTATATTCAGTGACCACTCCTAAAGCATACTTCTACTAAAACAAGCACGGATTCTTTGTTGGACGTTTGGTACCTCCATAAAAGACTTTGATTTTGTATCAATTTTGCAATGAGACACACAGCTTTTTTGAAGTCGAGACAAAACGGAAGGCACTAAAGTGCCAAAGTGCCAACCGTTTGAGCAGTGCTAAGCTGTAGGTATTATGCACTATGCACTATCAAAAGCTATGGGCTGGGCCAGACCACAAAGTTGCTAGCGATGACAGCTTCTCCATCTAAAACTGGGCAGTATCAGTGAAACATTTTCATGCTCCTGTCATTTTGCGGCAACCATAGGTCACCTCTGTAGCCAGTAGCTGTAATCAGACACACACACACACAACTTTACTGTAACCCTCACTATGCTATGCATGCTCCAAATAGGTTAATAGGACATGGTCCCCTCAACACTAACACTGCACTAGCCAGCCAACTAAAATGATCTACCATTTCTTTGCATTTGTAAGTGAAAGCTATGTCTATGTCTGTAATTGTTTGCTTTACCACTGCCTAGTGACCTCGTTGCTGTTTACGTTTTCTGAAGTGCACAAAACCAATGCACAAGTGTGCACTCATGTGGTGTCTAGTCATCATAACTACGCACACACCTTGGCAGATGAGGGCAGCGTCACGGCTGTGTGTACACGGATTGATATTGTATGGATTGCTGTTCCGACACCGGTCCAGAGTTGTGTCGTAGTACCTACAGCCTAGGTTACTGAGCCATACACTCCCTGTTCCTTCTCCAAATGTGCTTGTAGCAGAGTTGACAGCGCAGATGTAGCCTGTGTAGTTCAGCATCCTGGATGTGAGTGAGAAACAAAGAATTGATTCTGCAACACACATTGTTGGCATTCTTTCACCCATTGACCATGCCAAAAACCTAATTAACCCTCGGCGATCATGTGCAGCGAGGGTTACAGTACTAGGCCTCTCTGTGTGTCTGTGTGTTTGTCGATGCATATTCTGCCACTACAGGCCAGGAGGCGTATAAGCGATACCAATGGCTTCAGAACTATAAATGTGAGCCTGAAAATTAAAACGGTGATTTTCTGAAGCCACTGTGTTCGAGAGATATGCCGTGAAAACAAGCGAAAAAGGCAATAGGCATAATCACACTGGGTTACCTTGACCTGATCCGCTTACTCTGCGTACCTTGGAGACACAAGAAGGCAAAACGAAGGGCTTGTGTCGACTCCAGCATGTATCTATCCTATAACTTCCTTCCTGAGTGGAATATTGGAATTCTGCTACAGCGACATATGGTGTAAAGTGGCTGTAGTGAAGTGCGGAAAGTCCCATTGGTGTAAGTTGTGTAAACTCTAATTTACCCAAAGTAAACCAGTACGCTATTATGACCGCTCGCCGCCAAGACTTGTGAGTTTTCTGTACGGATAATGCTGTTTTGGGCTCTATATAGATCCATCTAACTAATTTTCGAGTTTTATATGGAAGGGGTATTTGCAATGTGGAGTTAAACAAGTTTTTTTGTAAAATATCGACTATGGACGTTTATCCTATAACGCACTATACTAGTTTAGCTACGTACATAGCCTGTGTTAGACTATGCGAGTTACTAGCTGCCGGAGACCACGACTAACCGCGTACTCTTAGTGCACATTCTGATGTCTGAATGGTGTGGGGTAGGAGCAGGATATTAACATTTTATTACTGGGCAGGCTGTGCCTCAGCAGGTCGCCTGCAATGCTTTTCTACGCAGCCTTGTCCCATGCAAGGTGTAGATGCGGATGGCGTACAGGTTATACCGTACGCATGGGCGGTACTGTTATTGGTGGATTGTATTTTAAAACGGAAAAGCACTAAAGTGCAAACCCTCGGCGAATTGCGCATGCGCGGTACCGCTAATTGATGGGCTGGGCCTATTATATTAGTATAAGTACGTTTACTCGTGATCTCCCGCTAGTAAAGCTCGCGGAGAGTCTGACACGGGCTAGCTACAGTAGTAGATAGCATGCGGGAGTCGATACACGCCCTTCGTTGTGGCCTCTTGTGCCTCCAAGGTACACAGAGCAAGCGGACCCAGTCGAGGTAAGCCTGTGCTAATTTGCATATTGGCCTGTTCACTTGGTTTTCATGCCATAACTTCTGAACGCGGCACGAAAATCGCCATTTTACAAATGAAGCCAGTGTAGCGCTGAAGCAGTTGGTGTCCCTGTTTGTTGCGCGTGGTGGCAGAAAACGTGGTAACAGACGGACAGACGGACAGACCACCAAGTACTGTAACCATCGCTGCGCATTCGCGCCGCCGAGGGTTAATGAAATTCATCCCCACAAAGCTTTGCCACTGGTATGTGCTGCTGACCATGCCCAGACATTCGTGGTTTGGAGCCTAGGCCCCTCCCCACTCCTGCTGGTCAAGGTCAGCACCGAGCCGAAACCAGAATTCAAAATACTGATAATCTCCCTACAACATTGCTTCATACAATCGTGAACACTGTCATATCTATCTGAGTAAAATAGACTAGAAAACTACTGAAAAGACATTAGATACTAGTGAATACTGGAGTACAAAGACAAACTTATTACGGTAGCTATATAGCTACCATTTTTCTACCCCATTGTGAACAAAGTTTCCCATGTTCTTGATGCCTGCTAGCACTAGATGTCATGTTTGGCTCGGTGCTGACATTGACCAGCAGGAGTGGGGAGGGGCCTAGGCTCCAAACCACGAATGTCTGGGCAGGGTCAGCACATACCGCAGTGGCAAAGCCTTGTGGGGATGAATCTCATTAGTTCAGAACCACAAGTGCTGCACTCCTGGTAGCCTTTATAAACTCGTGATGCCAGAGAGAGAAGTTGGGGTATGCTCTGCTGATGAGGGCCAATAAGCCCGAAACAGCTGTTCAGAGCTCCGCATCTTTTTTCTCTTGGCATCAAAATGGTATTCTCTACATGCACTTTGCGTGAAATAGCCTTTTGTCAGGGAAAAGATTATTGTAGCGAACATACCCACAGATGACATTTGCATCAGTGCTGCTCCAGCCGTTTCCACAGATGGTGCCCCAGCGTCCATAATAATTGACTTCAACCCGACCAATGTGATTACCATAGGGGTTGTCGGCAATACGAACTCCCTGGTTCTCTAAAAAAAGGAAAAAAGAATACCGTTTGCCTTAAGGAATCAATTTGGCATGCTTCATTTTAAGGTTTTCAGTGCCTTCATGCAGTATGTACTGCAAAAGGTTGTCTTGGTACTTTGTCAATGGCCCTATAATATATTGCTAAGACTGCCATTTGTATATAACTCCATGGCATACTTATTTAATCTTTCTGTAGTGCAAGTGACACAATCTAGGCTTTCCGGTGCTATTTTTTTGCAATTGTGGAGCTAACATGTTTAAAGTGGGAGCAAGGCAACCTTTTCACTTGGTCGGCAGGGGAGTGCAGACAGGGTGACATGTCAGACAGGCCCTTGCATGGTGTAAGCAAGCATTATTTATAGCGAAGATGGGTTGTTCAGGCTGCTCTATGCTAGAGGCCCATCAACCTGCTACATACTGATACTGAAAGTAGCGTAAATTATTAAAAAGCGTGCACCCATAGTAGTGCAAGCGCACGGTGATGCATTAAAACTCGTAACTCTAGACGGATTAGCAAGTGTGCCAAAATAAACACAGCTACAACTAAAATAGAAGAGTATTCAGACCTTATCTTATCTTTTTGCAGTATATAAAAAAAACTGGCAAAACATTACTAGGCGCACGTAGCTATTATTATAGCAGCCCACCGCGGCGTGTCGGCAGACCGCATCTCAAGGTGCATCCTGCGCTTTGATCCCCAACGTTGCACACACAAAATAGCTAATGGCTACGTGATCACTAGCTACCTCCCTCTCTTTTGTCTATCTACGTTACTGGCTACCTACGCATTCTATAAAAAACATAAAACAACTCGGTGATCGTCACCCACGGGGATATCATTTGCGCTAGTCTAGGTTGCTCACTCACGTTGAGCCGAGATAACGGCAAGGAGAGTAAGTGCAGCCACTGGCAATAGCGGCAACCTCGCAGCTTTTTGTGCAGACATAGCAGCACCAGTAAACGACTGATGAAATGCCAGACTGCAGAACCTTTTAATAGCGACTGCCGCCGGCTTCCGCCGAACTTACTGCGCATGCGCTTTGTAGCCCGCTGAGTCACGCCTTCTAAATCCCATTCCCGAGAGGGCGTGGCACCGCGAGGCTGCGTATAGGCGCGCGGCGGTGAGCGCGACACAGAACCAATTTCCTGGTGGGAAGGAACTAGCCTTGGAACCCAGGCCTTCCCCGTTCAACGCTATATAGTACAGTAAGCGTGAGCATGCGCGGAATAATTGTCACCAAATTATTCCGCGCATCCTGAAGCGTACTACACGCGGCGTTGAAGGGGGAAGGCCTGGGATCCGAGGCTAGGAACGTGGCTTCCGTTAGAACGACTCGCGTGCAGTTTTCACATGCATATATTTGGCTTGGAGTTGGGCGTCATTGGTACCCCGGTCTGCTCCTACATGCTAAGTGAGAGTTTACTGTGCCATAGCACAGTGGTTGGAGGTTTGCCTTGTGTTGTGTTGTGTTGTAGATTCGAACCCCTACCAGCTGAGTTGCCCTGGTAGCTCAGTTGGTAGAGCGCTCGCCTAGACTGCAGAGTGTCGAGGGTTCGAATCCCACCTAGGGCAGCTCTTTATTTTTCCTTGGAAAAAAAAGAGCTGTCCTGGGTGTAGTTGATTTGTTTGTTGTGCCTTTGCCTTTCTACCTCATAGTTTTCACATGCGTAGGCAATACCGTACGTCGTCCAACTTCGCATGCGTTTGGATTGTTGCGCTTCTTGCACGGTACGATGCGCGATCGAACCAGCGAGAAAACTCTCGTCAATCTCTTGCCTGCAGTCACAGTGCTTGACCGAGGATGTACGTCTTTCTGATCTTCTTGGTTCAAAGATGTAAGTTGTAAATGTATAGGCCATATAGGATGGCGGCTCGTGCAGATGCAGTCATTGTGTGCTCTCTCCCGCTAATGCCCTGCATTCGCCTATTATACTAGATTCATATTCATATTAAAAGTGCAAAACGTATGTATACAGATTGTAAACTGGCTGAAAGTAAAACGACTATAGAGAGAAAAATAAATATAGGGAATGTGCTAGAATTAAATGAGGTAAGGGACCCGCCCCTCGGCGCAGGCCAGATCCATGTTGTCAGCCAAGGCATTACAGTGAGCAGGGCGATGGAGGGTGGATCTTGATCCACGAAGGTACATGATGGAAGATTGCAGCAGGGAGAAGTTCAGGTGGCATCTGATCCAATACATAACCATGCAATAGGGCTTGTTGTTTTTCTCGGCCAACTTGCAGCAATCCTCTTGTGCACCACAGTGGCAATGTTTCACATCCCTCTGCATGTTGAGAAAACCAATGGAGAGAAAGACCCATGTTCCACCTCGCGCACTCTCTCATCATATTCTCTTCTTTTCTCCATTTCATTGTGACAGTAGCATTGGGCTAGGGAGGAGTTGAGGTATATAGCTTTGTGCGAAAGGATTGAAAACCCGCAGCTACATTAAAAATGCACGTTGCTGATCCCGTCCCCAGACACTCTCAGCCAGAATGTCCAACCTTGCCTATATACTAGAGGAATGCTTAGTCTTGCGGAGCCAAGCCTTCTTGGGAGAGGAGAATGCCTGGTGCACTGTCGTTATGACTTTGACGGTAAAAATACCAAACAATATTATAGAATAATCAAAATTCATAATACATAAGTGTGTATATAACTACCTGAAAGGTACGTAATATGTTCTTAAAACAAGTTTGTGTGAAATTATACTTTACTTTTTTGTGTCTCACACTTTACTTTTATTCGTCATGTCTTAGAAATGAAAAAAAAAACCAAGTCATTATCATGAACCGTAATATCGTAACCTTGCGTTATAGGGCGGGGGTGTATACACGCAGTTGTCCAGGGCCTCAAAAGCAAGGGGGAAGAGAGAGACCGCAACAGCGCAGCAAGCGGGGGAATGAGCTGACACCTTTGTATGCTCCCCAACAAAGAGCGCATGGTTAGCAGATGATGCACCTCCTTGAAGGGTTAGGGGTTGAAGGTAGGAAATGACAGTCACGTCCATGGCAGCAGGTTTACCCTGTTCCCAATTTGGAAGGAGGATGTCAGCAGGGCAGCTCTGGGATCCGGGGAGGAGGGATAGAACCTCCTTTTGCGGAGCCAATGCAGTGGAGCGGGCAGCATGAAAAATAGAGTCACATATGCCTAAGGATTCTATCACCATTCCTTCCACAACCGACCTGATGGCCACCAAAGGGGTCTGCTGATGAGTGGCAAACTCAGCATTTCACCCTCTCCTAAAAAATTGGGACCCCCAACCAATATTGAAGGCAAACCTTGAACTAACGATCCATGAATTGAAGCCCGAGGGAAGATGAGGGAACAGCGTTCAGCCACGAATCACCAGCATTTGGGAGAGAACACCATTGGGCAAGGGCCACAGAACAGGTAGGGGCAGAGGAGAGACATCCTCCCATATCTCCCCCAGTTCCCAAAGACAATGTCTGATTGTCCTTTGTCCTCCCCTATATACTTCAAGAAGAACCCAATGCTTGGAATGTACTGCTGCACCATCCCCTACCCACTGACTTAGGCTGGCTGGAAGCTATTGACAAAGGATTGGAGCCAGGAACAGCATCACCTTTTAGATTCCACAAAGGATAGCTGGGAAACTGACATTCCTTCATCCACTTTCATCCTATTGAAGGTGGTTGTGGAGCTCACTAATCAGAGTGTTGGTATAGACACTCTATGTATGGATGCTGACTGTGCCAGGCCTGAACCAAGACACACCTTTGTCTTGGCTGAGAGATGAACACTCTGAGTGATCACTATGCAACATTACTAGTTGGTTATACTTTACCATGAAACATTGTTTGTCTGAAAAGGAGTTCGTCTCAGCTGTAAGACTTTCCACCATAACTGTGCTCTCAACAGTGGGACAGGCAGCTTTTGTATTGTTACTTGTAGTAGTGTGGCAGTGCACGAGAGCGAACAAAATGAGTCTTGACAAACCCCAACCACTGTTCCAGTCCTGCGAAAGGAAAGCTCTGCGCTGACGGCACGTTATGCAGCCCGAACATTGCGGCCAAATCCCGAGTTGGGTCGCTCCCGCTCGCCAACAATGTTCAACATTTCCACTATAATTATTATAGTAGCTATATTTCAAATGAGGATCAATTCTGGATATGGTATTATGGGACACATCATCAGTTCTACTCAGCCCTCAACTGACTGTTGTACCTGAGAACCTAAGCAGTAGTAAGTAAGCGAATAAATTCCTAAATAGGGAAATACTCGTACATGCCCATATTATTACAAGTGGAATGAAAAGCACTGAAGTGCAAACCCTCGGTGCATTGTGACGCGCACGCTTAAGTATCTAAACGCATGCGCGGTACCACTAATTGATTTGCAAATTGGCTTTTTCAAGCTCTAGCTTTGCAACGGAGCATTTTCAGAGAAAACCAAATGTTCTGACCTTCATTGGCCGTTAAGCAAGTGGTATCGTTTGTGAGGCATACCAATTTTCATCTCCATGTGTGCTGCTTTTAGCAAGTTTGAGGAGTGAGCCTGAAGCTCTTTGTTGCTGTTCAAAAGAAAAGCACTAAAGTGCAAACCCTCGGCGCTAAACGCGCGAGTTGTATATAGCATCGCTGTATGCTGGGCCATGCGACATCGACGGAGCCAGTAACACGAGTCTCGCCGTAACACAAGGTAGTCCTTGCATTAGCTGTTATAGCAATGCTCAGGTGTTTCAGAGTTGCTTTATTCTACTTCTGTGTTTCAATACTCTCGCCAGACGTTTTATAGATGGGAAGGTATGACCGCAACCACAAACTGCTCGCCACCTGAACTATTATGCTACATTGCGAACATACCTTGCTCAGCATGTTTATCCACCGAAAAAGCAAAGAGAACAGAGACCAAAACTGACAGAAGCCTGTAATTGGCGAGCGGGAGCGAGCTAACCTAGTGGTCCGAACGGCACGATTTTTCCGACCGCGTACGTCGTGTAAGTGCGCATGCTCCAGGATTACGCGCTTCTTTTTATCCGAAATGATTTCAAAATTTCACATGCTGCCTGATGTGTCGTGCGTGTGTGTGTAGCTAGCTCCGTACTCTCGCATCAGTCTGAGAGGATGCCATTCGTCGTCGAAGAGAGAGGGAAAGAGAACATCGTGTCAGTGAGACTCCTGAGCAGAGACGCTTGTGTGGTAGGGAACGCGCATATTCTTTACACGCTGCCTAGCTGTCATATCGATGCGAAATCTCAGCGAAAGAACTCTCGTCTATTCGCTGGCATTCGCAATACCTAACCGAGGCTGTATAATACCTCTTTCCAATCTTCGTGGATCTAAGGTTCCAGTTGTAAATAAGCTAGGATGGCTAATGCAGATACAGTCATTGTGTGCTCGCTCCCGCTCGCCAAAAATGCCATGCATTCGCCTACTAGTATACAACCAACGTGGCGTAGCGCATGTTCCGGCGAGACATGATGCATGCGCGCTATATAGCCTGCCGGAGAGGGCGCGTGCGCGATCGATCTCGCGTTGGCTTTTTCGCTTGTTTTCACGCCATATCTCTGGAACGCAGTCGTTTCAGGAAAATCGCTACGTTAGTATCCATGTTCTCGTTGTTCACAACCCGTTGGTGCCACTCATTGGCCTCCTCGTAGCCTGTAGTGCGAGAACTCCCGCGGACAGACAGACAGACAGACAGACCGACAGACCAAGTACCGTAACCCTCGCTGCGCAGCAGAGCCTGAAGCCATTTCTTCTCTCTATGCTCAAGTGACGCTCTAGTTTGCGCATGCAGCAGTTTTGTGGGGGCGTAGCTGGCAGATGCGCAGTAGTGTCGTTCTTACCGCGCATTTCCTCGAGTGAAAATGGGGCGTGGCACGTTCGTTGAAAGGGGAGGTGCTTTGTTAGGTCATGTGCTCGCGCAAGAGTGAAAAAAGGGAGAAGAAGACCTGCACCCGCTGGCGCCGCGAGAGGCCTCTCGCCATGCATTAATATATGTAATACGCGGTAGCTAGCGGTCCCGCGCGTGCATATATATATGTAAACGAGTTAACAATTATGTTGTCATCATGGAAACGATGTAATACGCATGCTTATATAGTCCGCACGTGTGATACTGTTTAAGAACAGTGAAGAAGTAATTTTAAAGAAAAGTGCCTGTGGCTCTTTGTTGTTGTTCAAACAATATTTGGTTGTCATAGAAACGATGTAGTATGCATGCGTACCAAGTTTAATATCCCATCAGCAAGTTTGAGGAGTGAAGAAGTAATTTTAAGGGCTATTTTTGTTGTTCAAACAATCCGTGGTTGTCACGGAAACATGCAGTTGTCAAGGATATGATGTAACACACATGCGTACAAAGATTCTTCTCCATGCGTGCTATCTTTAGCATGTTTGATAAGAAGTGAAGTTGTTGTTCAAACAATATGTAGTTGTCATGGAGATGATGTAATACGCATGTGCATCAAGTTGTCTTCTCCAGGCTAGAATGTTAGAAGAGTGCAGAAGTAATGTTAAAGAAATGTGCCTTAGGCTATAGCTATACTTGTAGTTAACAAACATGTGGTTGTCATGCAAACATGGATTTATCATGGAAATGATGTAATATGTATTAGTACCAAGTTTATGCGTGCAAAGCTTGAGGAGTGAAGTAATTAAAGAAAAGTGCCTGAGGCTATTTGTTATTGTTTACAAACATTAATTGTTGTGATTTTGAATTTGATGGTTGAATACATTATGTATACAAAGTTTCATTCACAGCCCTTACCATTTGTGAGTCACCCTGACACATGATACCCTATTATAATGTATTGCCTGGGGCTAATTGTTGTTATTATTATTAACATATATACAGTAGAACCCACAATAAAGGACACGCTTAATAAAAGACACGCTGAAAAATATCGGTAAAGGATAGATTTAAGGTCACAAGCGTTAACTTCTGGTAATTCTAACGTCTGAAGTGAGGACAGCCTCCCCTATAAAGGAACAAAATAATTATGCTGGTAAATATTCGGAGGTTCCAAGACTAGAAATAGAAGGCGTCACAAGTGTATCTCAAAACCAAACTAGGTATAACTATACACGAGGAATAAACTATGCATAATCCACAGTAGGGGGTGTAGAACCAACATTAGTGTTCGTGCCTATAGCTCCCTTATTCCAGGCATCAAAACCGGTTGGTAAATAACAACGATGTACTTTGCAAAATGTAAGAAAGAGCTAACAGATGGTAGCTGCGGAAGTCAGCTCTATTATTAATTTTCAGTAGGCAAGATCATTATAGTGTAATGATTTTTCTGTTCAAAAATAGCAGTAATAATAATTATTGTTCTTGAGTGCAGTCGAAAAGCGTTCATTATCAAAAATGTATAGGTATAGTAAGGTCCCAGAATCACAGCTTGTCATTTTCTACCATTATAGCACTGTTGCGAGAGCTGTAGGAAAAGAGAATTAATAGTGGTAGAGTGAAGATGTGTGCAGAACAGTCATGAACCCCACACTTCTGTCTTAGTGAAGTGCATTGGACACTGCAAAAGGTAGACTCTGGACTAGACCATGGACTGGACAATGGAGAGACTATTATAGGTACTGAAGAAATGCTCATTAATAGTGTAGGAGCAGAGAAACTTGTCAGGACTGCCTTGAGCAGTCTAAAGTCATGGCCATTCGTCAGAGAAAAGGCGATGGCTATATTATACACGATTCTAGCTGAAGGAGATCACTGTGTCCTTCACTCTATCAGAGCGTCGGTAGACGCTCTATGTAGGGATGACACGAGTGAAATCTCACGTGATCCGCGTACTCGGCGAGAATGGCTAGCTATGCCTTCAAAACACACCAAAAATCTCTCACGGGTCCATATCTACCTATACATATGCCCAGAAGTTTCATATGTCCCTGCAATTCTCGACACCAGAATCCGCTCATACGCGATTTCTGATTTTCGTGTCATCATATTCTTCTTCTTCTTCTTCTTCTTCTTCTTTTTCTTCTTTACACCCACTTTCTCCTTACCAGTACCAGTTGGAGCGCTGATATTTTCACTGAACGTCTCCAATCTCGTCCGAGGTGTGCACGGACATCAAGCGATCATTTCTTTCTTGCCGCAAGTCACTACGATAGATCATGGAGCTCTTCCATGGTCGATACTGAACAACGCCATTTGCTGCTAACTCAGCACCAGTGAGCCGTGCGCATGCGCCAGGCAGGGGAGAGCGGACCGCGTGATGCTAGCCGTGTGCTCCGTTTGGCGGCTTGTTTTTCGCTCGCCTGAGTTTGCTCCCGAATTTGGGCCTAGCTATCCGTCTTGTGGTAAGGAGTTACTATTGTGTGTACTTTAGCTAGCTGCAATCCACCTCATTGTGAATTTTCTTTCTAGGTTCCACGCGGCGAATTTTCCCCACGACTTCACGAGACAGCCTCCACGTGACACTCCGTGTCTGTCTTGTCCGCACTGCTGCTACTGTTGTGCTGGAGTCGCCACGGTCAAAAGTAAGTCTTGCTATTGCGATTACGAATATTATAATGAAAAGCGCTGAAGTGCAAACCCTCGGCACATTGTGACACGCACGCGTAAGTGTCTCTTGCCAGCTTGCGCAGAATCTACTAGATACTAGCATGCGAGAGGCGATACACGCCCTGCGTTGCATCTTCTGGTGCCTCCGAGGCACGCAGAGCACGCGGATCGATCAGACCGGGGTAAGCTATCCCGTCCGTTGCGTATTTGCATATTGGCTTTTCGCGCTCTAGCTCTGCAACGGAGCATTTTCTGAGAAAACCCCACATATTTTCTGACCTTCGTCGCCCGTTGGGTAGATGGTATCGTTTCTGGGACGAACAGACATTCGAGAGGTGAGATGTAGAGTAACAGACAAACAGACAGACAGACAAACCCAACTACTGTAACCCTCGCTGCGCATGCGCGCCGAGGGTTAATTATATAAATCACGTATAATTACCCCTCGGCGCGCATGCGCAGCGAGGGTTACAGTAGTTGGGTTTGTCTGTCTGTCTGTCTGTCTGTCTGTCTCTGTGTTACTCTCAATCTCACTTCTCGGGTGTCTGTTCGTCCCAGAAACGATACCATCTACCCAACAGGCGACGAAGGTCAGAAAATATGTGGGGTTTTCTCTGAAAATGCTCCGTTGCAGAGCTAGAGCGCTTCCACCATTGTATATACGGCTAATGCGTAGTCGGCCATTTTTATCGCTGCGGAAAATGCGCATGCGCTTATAACCTCGACCAGGTCCGCTTGCTCTCTGTATCTTGAAGGCACAAGAAGTCACAACGAAGGGCGTGTATCGACTCTCGCATACTATCTACTACTCTAGCTAGCCCGTGTCAGACTCTCTGCGAGCTACTAGCGGGAGACCACGAGTAAACGCATACTAATAGCAGCCTAGCCCATCAATTAGCGGTACCGCGCATCCCCAGTTCGCGGAGGGTTTGCACTTTAGTGCTTTTCTTGTCCCTGACTATGAGTCACAAAAAAGTAAACGAAAGTAACGTTACTTGCGAAGTTACTTACGCGTTCGTAACTATCTAGTAACCTTTAGTAACTTTCAAGTCACTGTAAGGTCACTCAGGAGTAACTCTGAAGTCACTGTAAAGTTACCGTGTAGTAACTTTCTAGTCACTGTAAGGTCACTCAGGAGTAACTCTGAAGTAACAAGGTCTTTAGCCTTGGGCCTTAGCTCTGTCTATGAACTTTTCTTTGGTTGCGCTCGGTCTACACACGGCTAGCTCCACTGGGTAACGCGGCCGCGCCTTCCAGTTCGCGACCGTCGGCGGCCTAGCTAGCTAGCCAGCCGTGGCTAGCTCTAGCGAGCGCGACTCTGCAGCGCGCGACACGCCTGCTTCCGGGTCGAGAGGGCGTGGTTGTGCTGGGCCGGGCCGGCCAGCCGCGTGGTTCTTCGCTAGCGTCTTCCCGAGCTATATCGGCAGCGTTGTACCGTCTGCTGGGGAGCGACATGTAGCCCGAAGATCTACAGCGGACACTCAGACCGTAAGCTACCCATTCTTCCGTGAAGATTGGCTGAGTGTGATGCGTGGAACATGGGCCGCTTTGGTAACGTTGGTGTTATGAAAATTATGAAAAAGGATACCAACAAGAAAGATGCTTCGGCTGAAAACAAAAATCATACATCCATCCCTACATCTTTCTTTAACCTCCACCTATGAGACAGGGTTCAGAGGGGATGGGACAACCTCAACTGTGATTTGTTATGAATTAGTATACCCTACACCAAAACTGAGTGCCTACACATTCTTCGACAGAGCTGAAGAAAGAAAGATGTAGGGATGGATGTATGATTTTTGTTTTCAGCCGAAGCATCTTTCTTGTTGGTATCCTTTTTCATAATTTACACCATCCCTACATCTCCCTTCATTTTGAAGAAATGATTTTTTCACTTGTATAATATCCCTGACACCTGGCCAGAACATTGCAGGACCCACCGTAAGACTAGAGCCACTTTTGGGCAGTCCAAGCGTGTATTATGACAATTGGTTGTGTCTGGTTTACCGATGTCCCTGACAATTGCCTGTTTCATTGGTGTGGTTGCACAAGAATGAAGCTAGGAATGCCTAGAGAGGCTGCTCCTTGCAACACTGATGATGACTCCACTGGCTCCTGAAATACTTCGAGACCACCAAGAGCCGGCTTGTATTTTGTACAACTGACCCAGTCCACGGTCCAGTCCAGAGTCTACCATGGGCATAGAGTTTTCCCAGGAATAGTACAATGGAAAATCCAATAACGAATTCTAAAACGTCCCAAAACCAGAAAAGCACCAAGATATAATGCAAATTGAAACACGCCTTGCATATATAATTATTAGACGCTCTATATAGGGATGACACGGGTCAAATCTCACGTGATCCGTGTACAAAACGCTTCAAAACCTACCGAGAATCTCCTGCTATGCCTTAAAAGTACATTAGCAATAATCTACTGGCCCAACGACTTTATACTCAACTTCAGTCCACCCCACGAGAATTCGCTCATACGCGATTCCACGATTTTTCGTGTCATAGCTAATAATTTTTATACAGAGGAATAAACGAACGGCCGGTCTCTTTGGTCAAGGAATCAGCCTTTTCTTTGATTGGGGAGAGAGCATTACGATTAACTGGATAGATTCCAGTTACCCTGAATCCAGCTGCAATATTCGCTAATGACATACTTTTCAACCATGCCTTCCTAAAAAGAGAGGAGAATTGATAACGTGTAATGACCCGGCCTGAATTCCTTGCCAAATAGCTATGACATTCTTCCCGCCATGCAACCTTCAGGGGTCCAAAACACCCCTTGTCCAAGGGTTGAGACAGGTGAGTGGTGTTTGGGGGGAGAGCAAAAAGGATAACCTGCTCCTGGGCTGCAAGCCTGATGGTGCTTGGGCAATAGTGAGATGAGTGACCATCCATTAGAAGTAATATGGGCCTCACAGAAGGAATGTAGCTAAGGAAGTGGTTTTTGAACCATAATCCAAAGAGTTCCCTGTCCATCCACCCTTTAGCTGATAAACCATAGAGAGTTCCCTCTACCTCACCTTCTGTTAGCTCAGGTACCAAAACCTTTCTATCGAATATGACCATTGGAGGCATGCAAAACCCTGCTGCACTGACACAAGCAACAATTGTTACTTGTGATTTATTACCTGAGCCGATGGCAGTTGCATCGGATCCCTTTTCTGCAACTATGCGAGGTGCTTTTGGATCCAGCGGCATCCCACTTTCATCCATATTGAAAATTTGGCTTGGTTTTCCCCTTAGGTTGTTTTCATCAAGAGTATGCTCCAACAAATCGAAATAACGGCATATTACATCTGGATCTGTAGCTTTCGCACGAGCTATTGAAAGAGGAGTTGGAGCACGCAATGAGTTTCGGCGGCAAAACGTCTCCCACCATCCGTTGGTTACTGATTTATTCAGGCATTTCTCATCAATAATATTTTGCACTATCGCCAAAACCTCTTTTCGCGCCTTGCCATAGCCAATGGCCGCAACCCTAGTGAGAAACTGCACTAGCTCTACCTCTTCGGCTGTAGTTAGATATCTCTGTGGCCCACTATTAGATCCTGGCATAACTCTTCCACTCACTCGGTCACCTAATGTAGACTTTGGGACATTGAATTCTTCGGATGCATGTCTCACAGAAAACCCTTCACTAATAACAGCTTTTGTTGCCCTTTCCATTCGTTCCTCTGTCCATGCTTTATATCTACCCCCTCTCCCATGCAACGAAAAATCACGAAAAGTAGAATGACTGCGATATACTCTATCCCTAAGAGGAGGGCACCGAAGCATTATGGTACCATTAATATGGCAGCCTGTGGCAAAAGAGAGGTAAAAGACTAGAAACACGGACGTGTTTGGTGTCACGGCACTCAATACACTCGCCCTCCATTGCAACTTCTGATGCCTCCATGGTATACAAATCCTCCAACAGTCTAGTCTGGGTAAGGCCGTGCTGCTCACTTGGTTTTCACTCCAGAAGTATTTTGCCAACTTATGAAAACAAACCCTCCGCGCAAACGTCATACCCACTGTAGCACCCATACTCATGTGCAGGGCGATAATTGATGGGCTGGGCCACATCAATTTATGCAGGTTTCTCACTAGCTTGCTGTGTCTGACAAGGCTCTAGCGTTCTAGGCATTGCGGGACTTCCCTCCTTCATAACTTCTGATGCCTCCAAAGTGCATAACGTGAGTGGACTCTAGTCGAGGTAGGACAGTGTAGCACTGAACCCGTTGGTATCGCTCTTGTTGTGGGTGGCGGCAGAAAATGTGGTAACCACACGAACTTACAAACAGAATACAGAGTACAGTAACCCTCACTAGGGATGCACGCCAAGGGTTAACTACAACTCCCTAGACTGTAATGGTTATGCAGATGTTATAGTCACCGTATGCATTTCAACCAAGCACTAAAACACAAACAATACAAGCCCTGCCTTACATGCACACACCCTCCCTCCTCTCCAATCTCTTCCTCACTCCCCCTCCCTCCCTCCACTCTCCACACCTCTCTCTCTCTATCTCCTCTCTCTTAATCTACAAAACACACTGAAATGTGTATACACAATCTTAACTCCAAACAATTGACGTATGGCTCGAATACAAGCAGCTACTTTCAACATGCAGTTGCCCCATGCCTGCAAATAAACAGTTAAAGATTAGCTAAACTCACAAGTAAGGAGCGGGAGGGTCGAAAAGGCGATTAACAGGTGGATTTTGGTGGAGGAAAGACTTTCCAGCTGTCAGTTCAACACACGTGTCTCGGCTAGATAGTAGTAGGGTAGAATATTTTAGAAACGGTATAACCAAGTTGTTTCGGCTTTTCCTTCTCCAAGAAATACGCCCCATCCGAATATAGCCGAATTTGGCGTAATCCGGACGTTCACTTCTAGCGCGCCTTGCGAAAGCGACGAGTAATTTCGGAGCCAGATTTTGTGAGCAAGGAATAGGCAGGTACAGGTCTACATCTTACTACATTAATTCTGAGTATAGCTTGTTTGGTGTAGCAAT